CCCTGTTGTACTTTGTTCTAATGTTTACATAAAACATCCTTGTTGTACTTTGTTCTGATTTTTACATAAAACATCCTTGTTGTACTTTGTTCTAATGTTAAGATAAAAGAATCTTGTTGTACTTTGTTCTAATGTTTAGATAAAACAACCCTGTTGTACCTTGTTCTAATGTTTAGATAAAACAACCTTGTTGTACTTTGTTCTAATGTTTAGATAAAACAACCTTGTTGTACTTTGTTCTAATGTTTAGATAAAACAACATTGTTGTACCTTGTTCTAATGTTTAGATAAAACAACCCTGTTGTACCTTGTCCTAATATGTACATTAAACGACCTTGTTGTACTTTCTTCTAATGTTTAGATAAAACAACATTGTTGTACTTTCTTCTAATGTTTTCATAAAACAACCTTGTTGTACTTTGTTCTAACGTTTTCATAAAACAACCCTGTTGTACTTTGTTCTAATGTTTACATAAAACAACCCTGTTGTACCTTTGTTCTAATGTTTTTATAAAACAACCCTGTTGTACTTTGTTCTAATGTTTACATAAAACAACCTTGTTGTACTTTGTTCTGATTTTTACATAAAACAACCTTGTTGTACTTTGTTCTAATGTTTTCATAAAACAACCTTGTTGTACTTTGTTCTAATGTTTTCATAAAACATCCTTGGTGTACCTTTGTGCAATATATACATAAAAAACCCTCTTATTCCTCATGTTTTCCCAGAACAAAAACTCTGTTTTCGCTCTTGTAATATTTGCATTTAACGACCCCAGTGACGCTTGTTGTGGTGTTTGCATAAAACAACGCGTCTATGCTATAGTTACCAGAATATTTATTTCTATGTAAGAACGAATCATTGTTTTATATGAAATCGCTTTACGTTAATTGTAGTATTATCACAAACAACGCTATAACGTGTGCTCTACAATATTAAAAAACCGAACTATTGTTTGATGTAACGTTTCTAAAATTTTTGTTGTAATATCTTTTATTCAACAACTCTTTTGTCGTATGTGGTAGATATATTCAAACACCTCTCAAAAGTTTCAGTTTAGCCTATACCAGTGAAATTCGATCCACCTGAATTGATTTGTCTGATGTTGAAAGGAAATGAGAATAATATATCGTAGAGAATTGAATTTAAATCTGTAAATGGCTATCATCCATCCTGTATTTTTTATTTACAAATTTTTAAAGGGGTAGAATTGTTTTTATTTTTCATTAAAGACAAAACAACTTTAAAAATTCCTTAAAGTGTACCTGTGCAGTCAGGACTTGAAACTCTAAAGTCTAAGACCGGTATTAAAGCTGCGTCCAAGTTTTGTAATTTCTCAGAACAATTCCACAACCCAAATTAAAACGTGGTTAGCAATTTTCTTATTCTTTGATTCATGTACATAATACATGCTATAATACAGTCGATTTTTAACAACTTGATTAACCTATACAATACAATAAATACTTCGCCAAGCTTTCATATTTTAAATTCATATTTATATCTCAAATTTAAGTTGTGTTTGCTTACTGTGTTTTCTCGGACAACCGTCTTCTATTTTGACAAAATAAGCTTTTGAATAATATGGATTGCATGTAGAAGCTTAAAGAAGAAGAGTACAGATTTAAATCTTCAAGCCATTTGTCATCCCGTAACAAATATTTAAAAAATAAAATGTCAATTTCTTCGTGCTACTAAATCTGTATCCGTTTTGCTACAAAAAGTTTTTGAAATGAGTCTCTTGACATGTACCCACTTTAACTGTTTAATGAGTCAATTTGAAGACGTTATTATCCTATCTACTTCATCTTAATGTAGCATTCTTCAATTCTTAACATCCCTCTAGGACCTATCTTCCTTATTTGGCACTTCAGTACGGAAACGACTTTTGTCTGCTCGATTAAAGAATACCCAACCGACATGGTGCTCAGCTGTGAACAGACAACGTTTGCTTGTTAGTTGAGCTTTACACGACTAAAGACGCTTCCGACTTACAGACTCACTAGGGGATACCCGTTTGTTTGATCACCAAATTAATTGAAATAAATTCGTCTTAACGATATTCAAGCATTCTTCAAATCTCCAAGGATTGGCTATTAAAAGTGATTATGCTATTATTTTCAGAATTTTCTCTTACTTGTCATATTATGGACGCCATTTTGGTTCAATAATTGGCATTTATGAGATATGTTGAAATTCGTAATTGTAAAATGTCGTGAAGTCTATAATAAAAAAAAAATATGATTAGGTTCCTTATTTGGATTTAAGGGCTTGATTCTCTTCTCAATAATAAATATTGCTATCAGGCCAATAAATAATACTATAATTGAAAAGAATATCGTCGTGTAACATTTGCTTTAACAGCTATTAGAGTTTAATTTCAGCTATCTATATCGCTTTTCCGAAGTTCATCACCTGTTTATCCCCAAACGCGTAAAAAAACAAAAACAGATATTCCATACTACAAGTACGTATTTGCACTTATAAGCCGATATTCACTTATCAATTCAATATAAGTTTTATAAATTTAATAGAGCAATTGACGTATTTTCAGCATTTGTTTTACTTCCTACCGAAATAATCGTGTCATAATGTCATAAAATCATCCCCGCTGTGGTTTTCAAATAAGCTTATCTGGATTTATTCTTAAGTCTAAAGTGGGGAAATTAATTTGACAAACTGTTAAGAAACACGGAAACCAACTAAATGAAATCTCTTTATAAACTTCTCGCTGAAGCATGAACACGAAAGTTTCTCATAGGATTGTATTTGGACGGTGGGATTTTGGCATTAATTTACTGCTAAGTCTTTATATAATGTGTTTATTGGTATTCCTAAAGGACGTCTCACTGACGTTACTTGACTCAGATTAGGTAAAAACTGATGATTGGTTAACGGAAAACGGAAAGGAATTCAATACGCTCTTATTCCAATCTCCGGTGAAAATGTTACTGTTATTGTCAGTGTATTGGGACCCTTATGGATGATATGTTCCTTTAATTGGCAACCAGAGATTAATTAAGCTGTTTTCCGCTTCGTGTTAAGCAGATTCATTTAGTTCATTTGTTTACCAATCTTTCAATTAAGTTAGAAGATGCCAAGCTAGTTAGTTTATTTTATCAGTAAAATTCAAACTTTTCTTTAAATCGACAAATGCTATGTTGAACATTTATATAATTTGAAGCTTTTCAGATTTCAAAATTAATGAGGAAAAAGGTTCTATTTATGTTTGTAGAATTTTCCTAAACAATAGACCTATGACAATTCCAGATCTGTGAAAGTCTCATTTAGATGTATGTCGACGACAAATTCACAAGCTATACAAGAGATTTTCTAGAATTGAGAGGCGCCATTCTTTTAAAACAGATGGCTATATAAACCAATTTTAATATAATTTGTCCAACATGTTTAATTATTAAATTATTATTTAAATATTATATTAGAGTACCATCTTAGAGAGAAACTTTATATCTTTGACACGAGATTTAAATTATACAGCATGAAATGACACATTGAAAAATACTATAGGCCTACTCATAAGACCTCTGAAAGAGAAGGGAGATAACTGGTTAAAATATTATTCAAATTTTAAATAGGTTCTTTTAAGGGAGACAATTAAATAAAAATAAACGATTGGGTTGTTTGATATATACTTAAGTTTACGAATTGAATGTATATTAAATATAAATTTAAACTTTGTTGAGTAAGATGCCGTTTAATTAATAACCAATAAAGTACATAAAATACAAATTGAAGTTTAGGGAGACAACTCCTCTTCCAATTAGAATTAGGTTGAGGAATAAAATGGCAATTAACTTTTAATTCACGTTTCAGGCTTACTATCGACATTATCAATATTTTAACCTAGAATTAGGCTAGTTTAAGGATGACTCGTATAGTTGTGGAGCCTTTTAGTATTTTAAAGTGTTTTTTTTTATAAAAAAAAAACCCAAGTTTAAGAATGGCTAGGTAATTGTTACAATAAACAGGCCATACAGAAAGATTCAAAATTTACTATTGATTCGATTTTCCTGGAAGATGTTTCTGTCTTCCGCCACACGAGGAACAGGGACTACAACTATGTCAATCCCTTCAATAGATCTGCATAATTTGACGGATGGGTTGGGCCTTATTTACTTTAAGCGTGGGTTTAGCTATATAGAGTGCTGTCATATCTGTTCAAAATATATACACTGACATAAGCCTCCCTGCCTTGAACCTTACTGCAATTATGAACTGTCTACGACAAAATTTAATTGGCGAGATGAAAAAAGATACCTCGGGATCGATCATCGGATGTCTTTGCTAGAAGGCCTATCATATTTTTACAAATTATTATTTTGTACCACTCAGATCATTGCCGGGAACAACGATCACTCCCGGGAACCCAAATCAATGCTGAGAATCCACATAGTTGCTTGAATTACAGATCGTTGCTGGGAATTTAGATCGTTGTTGGGAGTCTAGATTATTGCTGGGAAGCAAGGTCCTTTGGAGAATATACTCTAAAAGTTCAAATCATTTATGGGATTCTTCGCCAGTTTTGAGAATCTAAATCATGGTTCGGGCCAATACTATACTTTCAATCCCATCAGTTGAGTTTTTTTTTCCTCGCCTACAATAAATATAACTTCACAAAAGGAAGGCATGGATAAAATATATTCCATTGTGTTGATAATAGGTTTAGTGTCTTCTTATATCATTAAATCATCATTATAGAGTGATATACGCCCTCCTAATTTGAACCTTACCTTACAAAATTGAATTGATGGATGAAAAAAAATACTCGGGATTGAATATCGGATTTCTTTGCTGGTGAATAAATGTGTATTACTCCTTGATTTCGAGTAGCAGAAGCAAAACGTGACAAAATATGTTTTATTTATAATCAACGAATTAAAATATAACAAAATAGCACTAAAATATACAATAAATATTAATTGTATCAAATATAACCATTTTCTTGCATTGTTCTTCAGTATCGTTTTCAAAGTCTAAATCAAACAGAAGTAGTTCTTGGACCGTGGGCCATTTCAATCAGCTGAAATATTGTAAGAAAAATATTATAGATAAACATTTCCTAGAAGTTGATACATCCTGCCCTGCATCCTTAAAATTTTTAAATAACACCATGCAAAACAAAATGGGCACATTTGGAAAACTAGGGCCTTCTGTCATCAAAAATGAGTTGGGGTATTTAAATAATACATCGATACATTAACCTTTATTGCCGATGTACGCTGAATATGAGCAAAGTATAAGAATACGTTAATCGTGACGATGATTTTAATGTCTTTTTCTTTATGAGAGCCGGACCTAAAAAAAATCCCTTTCATAATACTGCCACTGAATTTGGATGCAAAAACCAGTAGGCACGTACATGCTTGTAATCTGGTGTAGTCCTATATAAAGCACTTCATGAAATTTACGAATTAATTATATAATTACCTTAGAAGTTAACATATGAGCAGCCAACCTACTTCGATATTGTTTAGATGAGTTGACAATAGTAGCCACATTTCCATTATCCAGACAACGAAATGAAAAATCCCAACAAGCTTTTTGTAACTCTGGTATATCAAATTCTTCAGCTGCACACATTAATCCTAGAATAAAACAACATTTAAATGTGGATTATCGGGACATGTAAGAGGCTAATGACCACTGAAAGAATGATGAGTATAACTGGACCCGGAATAAAAATAATAGTAATGGAATATCGGGTGACCCAATTCTTTTGCTGGATGTAACAGAACGGAAATAACTCTGATCTTACCTATAACCGTTTCTGGTGTAACACAAACTTGACCAAGATGTAAAAAGTTGAGAATTTTATCAAATACTTCAGCATCGTAGTGTTCAATATTTATCGTTAATTTCTGTTGGGTAGGTTTATTAGTTTTCTTTTTAAAAACTGAAAATTTACTCTTCTTAATTTCCATCTTCATCTCCTCCTCTCTCATTTTATTTTCTTCTTCAATAATCAATTTACATAAATATCTGCAAAATTAAAATATTATCATCATATATATACAAATTAATATTATGTACCACCCAGATCATTGCCGAGAACCACGATCACTGTTGGGAAGCCGGAAACCCAGCTCATTGCTGAGGATCCAGGAACCTACACAACTGTTTGAATTAAAGATAGTTTCTTGAATTAAAGATAGTTTCTTGAATTAAAGATAGTTTCTTGAATTAAAGATTCTACGCCAGTTTTGTGAATCTAAATCATTTTTCGGAATAAGATTATCTGAGAAATTATTATCTTGAAACAATTTTTGTGGATGAAAATGAAATTGTCTCGATCAACATATTTGAAATTTGTCTCACCTGTTTCTAGAGGCCAATGCGGCTTTCAATCCCATTTGTTGAGTTTTCTCTTCGCCCACAATAAATATAACATCACACAAGGAAGGCATGGATAAAATATATTCCATTGTGTTGATAATAGGTTTGCTGTTTTCATATATCATTAAATCATCATTATCATCAAATAGTTCTTCATTATCTGAATCTGACCAATATTCTGGAGCATTTGGATTACCAGAATCATATCCTGATGACGTCACTGAATCTATAATCAGAATTAAATAAATGAAACAAATATAATGAAAGGGGTAAATAGATACTCGTTACATTGTAATATTGTGCAAGACAATTCTATCTGAACATAAAAAAGCTTCTACACTCTGCAAACCGGTATACCTGGACCTCAAACCACGGGAATCCATATCAAATATCAAAATATCACATGCTGCTTCATCGTTGTATATTGTCTATTTGTAGTTGAAAACTTTTGATGTAAGCAATACAACAATGACAAAAACTGGATAATGCCAAAAGTAAATAAATAAACACGTACCATTATCCGATTCGAATTCCAAATCAAATTTCAGATCTTCGGTTGACAGTAACGGTGAAGTTGTGTTAAATTCCATACTTATAATTTCTTAAACCAGAAAATTCAAATATTACCAATAAGTGTTAGTGTGTAGAGGCAAAATCGTAATGATGTATTAGATAAACTACAGAGTTATATATAGTTTGTGAAATTGAAAGGCCGGCTTTATTGAGTTCAGTTTTGACAGAACAGAGTTCTGACTGTGGCTGCCCCAAGCTGATTTACTGCTCTTTAAGCACGATAAGATTTTAGTTAATTAGTCTAATCAATGTTGTATAAATTGTAATGATTAATACTTATTACTATTTTGAATGGTTTTACTCCCCTTCCTTACTAAGTGAGTCTTAATATCACCCCTTTTGTGTAATCATAGAAGTTTAATTCGAACGATTTATTAACACTTAATTTTTTGTCTCATCTATTCGTGGTTGTTTCAAGTCAAAATCGACTTTGTGGTGTTCGAACACTGCCCCGTGTTTTGCGAAATATTTAAATTAGTGATATTGATTAGTATGCAATGACGGTTTTGTAAATCAAATAACCTTTGGAGAGTCGACAAGAAATAACTTTATAAACACGAAGCCAGATGAGAGCTTTCATACCTGCCGAGGTATGAAAATATTTCTACATGGGCTATATATACTTTAAAGCCAATAAAGGGACATGCATGTATGTATTCGTCTACATTTATATAAGTAAAGTTTAAACATGGCCTAGGATTTATGATTTCTAAAATTCACAATCAATCAATGAAAATAAAAATTAAATAAGGGGCGCAACTCGTGGTTAGACCATTTCAGCCAACGGCGACCAGTGAGCTGGACTGTATATTTGTGATGACTTTCAAACTTGCATTAAGTATATTCAAGCTTGTTTCACAAATAGAGTGTATTATGTCGACTAGTTCTTAAAAATACCTTGGGTAAGAACTATAGTATGAAGAACAATATAGACAACCCCAACTTAGATTACAACTCAAGAGGTAAGACAAAACAATTCGCACGATCACAACATGAACGTACCAGTGACCACAGTTTCCAAGAGTTAACCCACGCTCTCTCTATCAGTAAACCCGCTTTTTCCCCGTCGGTTATACTGTTATTTCCTCTACAGTTGGAAAGCGAAAAAGAGTAGGCTTATGCCACTATTCTGGCATAATTTCCCTCATTGTACCCTGCATGGCGTTACCCGTCTTCATTAGCCCCCATGGTGTAGAAATTTAGGACTTAAAACTCTATTCATTTTCATTTCAATTCTCTTTTAGTAAACTGTCAAAAGGGTGCAACTCGTACCTACAAACTTGATCAATTCAGCCCTACCAGTGAGTTAGACTTTCTAAAAAATGGTTAAAAAGAAAGTCTATGTCTCGATTAACACCAGAACCAGTTAAGTATGTGAGCTAGGATTTAAATCGCTGAGCTAATGCTGCTCCCTTGGAAATTATAACAGTAATGGACATTTTGGAAGGACAAAGGGAAGAAAAAAGCAAAAAAAGTAACTGCAAAAAAGACCACAGCCATGTAAATAAAACGTTTATTCATACATATTTTCATACATTTCCTGACTTAGACGGATATATTCTTCTTTTTCTGTTGGGGTCATTTGAGCAACCATACTATCAGTTATTTCATGTAGTGGTATTTTTCTATCTCCTATTGTTACCATAGCAACCTCTTCTTCCTCTTCACTCTCCATTTCTTCCACACCTAAAGTATTTAGACACTTTATCAAAGTTTGAAATGATTTAAATGCAGATCTAGTTTTTCTACATATTACTACCATCACAATCCATGATCTGAGGTTATTCTTCTTTAAGAGTTTAATTCATCCTAGCTAATCAAAAACACTGTTAGAAGTGGCCCATAGCATGCCCATAGCCAGCCCAACAATAAATATTGTATGACAGTTTTAATACCATTTGTCAAATATGGTCATGATTGAACATAAAATCACAACAAAAACTGAGGTCATCTGAGGACTTACCCGTAATTCAGATGATCCTACTCTGGCCTACTTAAATAAACTAAATATTTCATCCAAAAACTTACCAGCAGAAGTTGAGGGTTTGTTTGATTTTTCTTCATCAGAATCACTACTGGAACTATCTTCAGGTTTTATTCCTGCTGTTAGATTAGTTTTACCACTCTTTGGTTCATGGACTAGTAATGTCTGCATAATATCCTCTCTACTCACTGTTGATGTGTCTTTAGATTGACCTGTATCAATTTCATCTTCCTAAATAGTATTGAAAACTAGTTATTATATGCAATGGAGAGGAAATTAATTGTTGGAGAATTCTTAAAAATTACTTCTTAAATAGGCTTTGTTGCTTTGGCATTTTTTTTTCATTTGGTTCTTAAAAATGTCTGCTTGTAATTCAAGTTTGTAAGATATTTCACCATATATTTAAAAAAATAGTCTGATAGTCAAAATTTGTTTATGGTTTTGAATTGAACATATCAGATAAGATTGAAATCTTGTAACTTACAATAGTTTGATTATCTAACATTGGTATACCATCAACAGTACTAGCTGTCATCCATACTGGACGTTCTTTCTTATCTTTATTTGGTGATGTCAAGTTGTCTTCTCCCATGTTTATAGTAACACTGCTTTCAGAGTAGTTAAAACCAATATTCCTAGTTGATTCCCCACTCCAGGTAGCATTTTCTTTATCTGTATTATTCTTAGAACTACTACTTGCATTCCTGAAAACAAAAGTATATTTGAAATGATAGGTAATTTTAAACCTTTGTAAACATGTTAACCAACTAGTGCAAATTTCATCAGGAAAGCACAAACAGTGTTTAAAGAACACTTTACAAGGTAAGTTCTAATATAAGTCCATAGTCCTAAGTTTCCATGTAATTTGACTAACAAAGAAAAGCAAAAGAGCAACAATAGTACCACTGGTCACATGCAGAGAAGCAACAGCTTTCTAATGGTGATTGTAATGGTGATTGCAGAGTAAATAAAACACTTTCAATAGGTATTTTCTGCTACTGATTGGTTGACATGAAAGCAGTATAATGGTATACCTTTGTAAGTTTTTCCTGATATCAATTGGCTCTGGGGCTAAAACCTCTGGTGCCAATTTATAGTCTTCACACTCTTTTAATAAATCATACAAAGGTTGAATTTGTTCATTATATTTAGCTAATAAAGTTCTAGCATTTTGTTTAGGCATTGATGTAGCATCCTCTTCTACCTCAGTATCACAAAAAGTACACTTTAAAGTCTGTGTCATAAAATCCAAAAGTTGACCAGCTTCTAAATCCGTGTAAGCCTTTTGACAAGATGGACATTTAAACGAAGCACGACTTGTGTTGTCTCTTTCTTCCATTTCAATTTTTCGATGCACATGATCTAATTTGTATTTGACCACATTAACAAATACATTGTAATTAACATAATAATAATTGTGTCTGGTAGTTTTACCCTCACTGTCTGTCTCTACTCTCATCTGTGCTTTCACAAACTTGTCATTTTTTAAAGTATTAATAAGAGCTCGCAGTTGTTTACGTTCAAATTTTAACAATTCTATCATGTCATCTTCTTTAATACAAGCCACTCTCACTATCAAATCTATCACAATAGCATGTTGTTGAGAGTAAAATCCTCTAACAATTAATCTGGTTAATCGTTTTAATGGTTCTGGTACCTCAGTTAACAATGCATCAGATTCCATCTTTGGTATTATCAAGCTGAAATAATCAAAATATACATCAAGAATGGAAATATCATTATCATTTATCATAAAATGTTGGGTGATTTAAGCTTGAGATGATTTGGTGAACTAAAAAGTCCCAGATTATTAGAATGGACAATTTACAATGGTACCAAATGAACTACATTGTTACTTCTGAAACACTTTTTCACAAGAGATTTAGAAGTACAATTGATTATGATAACATAAAAACATACAGTATTAAATAATAACACCTCACCCGATCGATTGTAGAGTTCTGAACAGGTTCCGTCAGCAGCTATTTTTTAGAGCATAAATGGAACTGTTTATCCAACTTGTTTAATTGAATTATTAAGGTGCAGAATTCAACAAGCGAGCGACCCCCTTGGCTCAGTAAGTGGCAATGGGCGCTGACAATGTGGCACTGGCACCGGTATCGGTACAAACTTTAATAACTGCTATGTCATGTTGTGAGAATTCTAATCATGTGGTAGTTAATAACAGGACAAACTTTTCTATGGAATATAAATAGAGCCCATAAACCTACTGAAAGTTCACTTTCTTTCAAGTAAAATAAATAAAGAAAATTCTTTTTTTTTTAAACTTTTGTCCTGGGGGCCGCCATTTCTATTTTATCCAATACGGACCAACAATGGATTTTAGTCCCGCAAACCCAAACAAAGCAAATTTATGCTATAGTTCATATCGATCCGTACAATAAGATAATAATCCGAAACACTACAACAAAGCAGCAATATTATGGCTGCGATTGATAAAGTGAAAGTGCTAGTTGTTGGAGATTCAGGTGAGAATGAATTATCTTTTGGCATGCTAACTGACCATATGATTATTTAAGACCCCAATGGACTCTGAATGAATTAGTTCATTTTCCATGAACCCTTACTGCTACACGTAAGCTGATGTGATGATTTTTAATGGTAATCCGAAAAGTGCTCCTACAATGGTGCATTATTTCTGTTCACTATAGGATCATTATACCAAACTTAAAAGATTACCGTTTCTGAGATTAAAGTAGGCCTAAAATTGGTCAAACAGATGGTGAACATGTCCGTAAAGTATGAAAAAAGAAAGGTCAAACAATTTTTAACTTCAGGTGTTGGTAAAACATCGTTAGTACATTTAGTTTGTCACAGTGAACCATGTCCAGTACCAGGAGCTACTATTGGATGTTCTGTAGAGGTCAAGGTAATGTACTTACAACATTTTTTTGGAAATTACAATTTGTACGCTTTGAAATCGCTGATAGCCTATAGTCCTGACTTGAACAACTGGTTCAACAGACAACTGTCGAAATTGCTATCAGAAGCTGGAATAGAGGCAGATGTCTAATTGTGACTTAAACCAGTACTTAAAATAAACTATTATATTTTTTATTTTTGCTAGTTACATGAATATAAAGCTGGATTACCTGGTGAAAAGGAATATTTTGTGGAATTATGGGATATTGGTGGTTCATCTAGTCATAAAAATAGTCGTTCTATATTCTACAATATGGTTAATGGTAATCTTATTTCAAATACAGCCACATAATGTACATGTTCCTGTCAATAATCAGTGCAAAACAGAATTCAGATGTGTAATTTTATATACCGAGTACCAAAAGTAAATAATAATAGCAAATTAGCAATGATATTTATGTATATCTGGGTATGATTCAATGAGCAGGCAGTACAACTATTATTGAACACAAAACAAGTCTCATTTATTATTTATTCTACTTAAAAATAATATTGACTAGTCATGTTTGTTTTGTGCATATGGCTTTGCTGGATTTTGCTCTTAGTGAGGTTTCTTAAATGATCTCCTTCATTATTTAAATGTTTTTCAGGAATAATTTTAGTTCATGATTTAACAAACAGAAAATCTCATCAGAATTTATTAAAATGGTTAGGAGAAGTATTAGATAAAGGTGTAGAAAAACCTACTAATGGGTAAATAATTTTTTGTGCTGTATATGATAATAGATTATCATAGTTAGATATCGAATAAGAATAATTTAAAAATATTGTGGATGAACTTGTCTGAAAGGCTAATAAAGCAGTTTAATGTGTTACACATAAAGCAATATCAAAACCATCTTCCATCTTGAAAGTTTTTTTATCATTAGTTCAATGTCCTATGAGTCATGTAGTTATTGTGAATTATTTATTTTTGACCAGTTATGACTATGATCCTGAACAATTTGCTGGTAGTCAAATACCAATGCTAGTTATTGGTACTAAAGCTGATCAAGCACAAAGTTTAAATGAGAATGTTTTATGTAAAAGATCATCAGTAGCTGAAGAATGTGGTGCTGATGAATTTAATATTGTAAGTACCTTCTCTCATAAGGTGTCCATTTTCTGTTACAAATATAATACCTTCTCATCTGCAGTATTGTGTCTGTATTTTGCCAAGTTGTGATATTCTTTATTAGACATGGTATTTACTTTTGCATATTTACTACATACATGTACAACACTGTCTTTGCAATTATGTGGTATAGGCTATAGACATCTTTCAGATTACTGAAATCTACAAATTTTGTTTGGACATGCATAAACATAGTCTTGATGTTTTATTTTTTTTATAGGATAGTACTCAGGTAAAATATATTGCTCCAGGATCTACAAATGCTGTAAAATTAGCTCGCTTCTTTGATAAGGTACATGTTTTTTCATAACTCTTTGATTTAGATATGGTTATCTTATATTTTTTTACCAGCTCATAGTGCTCAATTGGTCTTTATCACATTTCAAAAGTAAAATCTGGTTTACCTTCAATGCAACAAAGGGATTCAGTACAAATTAAGAATGTTGTTACTATTATGGCTTTCTGAATATTAGGCTATAGCTCCTTGGTGTGTAGGTAAATTATAATTAATTTTATAATTATAAAAATAGATCATCAAAAAATGAACGGTTTGTACCAATTTTGAATTTTTACCGCCTTCATCTTAAATAGTGAATCAAAATGCTTTAGCTCTTTTCATTTTCAATCAATTTTCACAAACTGTATGCTGAAATGAGTGTATTTGTATAAGATCCACCATCTCTATTCCTGTAATTTTATTCTTTTATTAGAAAGCTTTTGATTAAAATCAGAATGTAACAAGTTAATCAGCTTCAAATTTGATATTTATGTAGGTAATAGAAAGAAGATATTCGGGAAGTCAGGTCAGTGGAAATAGAAATAAATATGATTTCTTTGATTGAATCAACACCACTATTGTATCAGTGTACCAGTTGTAAGCCAATTTCATTGTTATTTTATAACTTGGGTTTTGGCTTGACAACTTCCGTTTATTTTCTAGTACCGGTATAGTAGTTTATAGTAAAGATATGGTTGATTTTCACTGAACTGTGTTTCAAAATGAGTATATAAGTATAAAAATCAAGTGAGACGTTATTCCTATTAAGACCAGTTGTCAAAAGATTACACACTGTTTCTGATTCCTTGCCTTTTCTTGCTCTACATGATGCTACAAAATAATAATGTTATTGGTGGTTAAATACTGGTAGAAAGTTGAGAGGAAATCAACCTGTAAGTGATGGTTAATTGAATGTTGGTTGTGGTCATGTCTTATAAAATATCTGGTGTAAAATGCTAGTACATATTAAGTAATTGGTGTTTGATGACGTGCTACATAAATACATGTATATAAACACTTCTATAAATGATAGTAGTTTAAGGTTAGCCGACTATTACTGATAAAATCAATCTAATTAAAATGCAGATCAATTTTGTCTGTCTGGGTGACCTCATGCCATCCATGATCGGACAAAATTCATATGCAACGTGATCTATAGATGTATCTGTGTTCTTAATGCTCACGTTAGAGCAGTAAATACCACTAGTTCAATAATCTTAATCTTTTTGTCATATTTTGACTTGTTTTGCCAGCCCTCTCTTATCTCATAATGATTTTATTTTGGTGAATGATGACAAAATTCTTTAACTTTCAGTTAATATAACAAGGTAGAATGTGGCATTTATTTATTGTAGTATCATTGGTTTTTAGTCATTTTGGCAGGAAAAACATCTTCATATATTCATATAAAGCAAATATTTTTTTTCTTATGAAAAGTTGGTAACAATATTTAAATTAAAAGGATAAAGTTAGCTATCTGCATCACTGTTCAAAATTTACTGCCTGTAATTTACAAGGTTTGAATTACTGATATTAGATATTGTAAATAAAAAAAAGTAACATGGTAGCAAAAATTGTGTTTTATCTGCTGTTAAAGTGTGTACTAATTTATTTTGCACATGTATCATTGTCTAGCAGAGTTTAAACTGAAAGTTTTGGATCAGACCATTGAGACTATCATACCTCCCCCACCCCCTCTAATTATTAACTATATCCCTTTAAAACTGACATTTGTAATGTTAATTGTGGTTCCTCCAAAGCTTCTTAATAGTGCTACATACAATGAAATTATAGAAATCTGTCCTGTGATATTAAATTTTGTTTACCCTGGATTGTTGTTAATGTTTTTTTCTATCTCTAAATTACTGCTTGGATGTGGATTTTGCTTGGTAATGATGATATTCTTGTATTATAGCTAATTAAGTGAAACAGTATGGTTGTCTCAAATTTTAGTTAAATTTTCTAATTTAGCTGAGAAAGTAAAGACCAAGCAATAGAATACAAAATGTTTATTAACATATTTTGGGTTATTTTCGTAAACATATGCAGCGGTTTGATTGATTGTCTTTAATTGTGTAGAAATTGTATTTTTCAGGTATATATTAGTCCTAGTAATGACAGAAGAAGATGGAAAGTTTTACATTCTGAATGATAACCACATTAGATATATACTATTAAAAATATTTTGATCCGGAGAATACAAATAAAGATGTTACAGGCATCTATGACCGTTCAATCACCCTGAAATCTGAATTCTAAAGAGTGAATGAGGCAGTGGTTTATTTTGGAGGAATATATTTGATAATTGACTGTGTAGCAGCATTCTGGGAAAGAGATAAAAAGAACTAGAAATTTGTGTATAATTTACCTCATGTTATCTCTATAACAAATCATACCAAGATTTAAACAGATAAAGTTGTCTCAGTATTTGTTTTAACATATATTATTCTAATAATGATCAATTTCTATGTTACTTATCACTGCATTATTCTGAAGCCAGACTTGTCCATAATTTTATTGCAGCAACATTGACAACAGTCAAGGTCTTGAGTCGAATATCAATATTCTCCCATAAAGATATAATGCTGTAATTACATCATGTGTAATATATTGGGCTCTTGTTGTATATTATTTGGTTGTTAAATGTGTTGTATAAATGTATATATAATATAATCTTTCAAATGTTGTCATTTCTGTTTTTTTAACTGCACAAAGAAGCCATTTCTATTTCATTTCAGGTTTTATTTAACAAAAAATTGGTATTTGATATAAAGTTTTATTCTACTAGTTTTGCATTCAAATAATTACAACAATGTATATTAAAGCACCACTATTTTGATAAACTGACCACTGGAATAACAGTAAAATATATTGTGTTTCACTATGTTAAAGTATTTCACTTACTGTGAATAGAAGTGTCCAAGTAAGTTCTAACCAAATCTAAGAATCTGCTGAGCAGAAGCCTTATAAAGCTTAAAGAATCATAAAGATCATCCTAATAACAAGATTTCAAAGAGTAAAGGCTACTTTCAATCAAGAATTTAAAAAAAAAAAACATAAATTAAGAAAATCATTTCTTTTATGACTATTAACAGATAGTAGTAAGAGGTGCTATTCTATTTATAAGTTTCCAGAATATTTTGTGTCCTAGTAAATGGTGAAACTGCGTAGATACAAGTATAAGTTATTAGCAATATATACAATTAATATTAAGAATAGGTACACCAAGCATACATAGTATCCAATAGTACACATATAATACAAGACAAATCACAAATTAACAATATTATCATTTGAAAAAAAAATCAATATTTTAGGACACTGAATGCCAAGGAAATGATAACTTTGTGCCAACTTTTGTTATTTTTGTAGCTTATAATCAAATTCTAGCTATCCACAAAGTGTTTACATTTTACAAGCTAATAAAACTTCTCATTTTCAGACTGCTAAAAAAAATCAATTAAATTGATCAGATTGTCCTTGTTTTTCTTTTAAAATACATTATAAACATTAACATGTTATCACAAACAATAAATCACATAACATTAGAGATTTAGCAACTATATTTTAAACCCCATAAAATCACACAAAAAAGCTAACAATATTTCTAAACCTTTCAAATAATAACACCTGTAATTTGACTTATAAATACAAAATGGTATGTCTAATATGGTCTCTTATTCAACAGTTTCTGTATAATATCCGCATTCTCTTATTAATAATGTTATTATAATTTTCATATTTCACTAATTAACAATTTTATGTACAAATTTTAGCATTCAAAAAAAAAAAATTTCTTTTCCTAAAGATTTCACTTAACTTGACGTTCATTTCTTAATCAGCTACATATATCTACCAAAGTTATAACTTAAATCATATTTTAAAACAAAAACACACAAACAAAATATCTGAAAGCTATTGCCAAAACACCACAACGATAACATGATCACCGCAATATAAGTTGTCTTTTGTCAAACAAAAACCATAATATACAGTCTTATGATATAAAAATACAGTGGCTAAGTGACCTGGCACATACTAGACAGCATAAATAAATGGAACTGGTTAAGGTAACATCAAGTCTTTCTGTAAAAAAGCCATGTTCACAGCTACCCAAAAGCTCATGAAGTTTTAATTTTTGATTCAGAATTCTTGATATTTCTAATTATTTCCACATGTCCTTTCTACTTTGATAAGTTGGGAATAAGCCAGAGTTGGAATTAAATTCATTGAAAATAGTAAATTACAAGCAACAGAAATAAAATAAAATTCAATATATTGTAAGACCTTTTCACATTTGAAGTGCCAGAAATGCAAGATTTTAAAAGTTTACTCTGCTGTCATAGTTAACAATGCATTTATTGTACTCTCTTTATTGCCTCTGTTAGCCTCGAGTACCGATTTTATGACATCTAAATCCATGTTAGGAAACATATCTTTAAATTCTTTTAAGTCATCATCAGTATACATAGGACGTTGTTGGGCTGGTTGAACTGCTGGATATTGCACTGGTACACCTGTAATAAATGAATTATTTGTGAATGAACAGACAGACTTACATGAGTGCCAACGATATAAGTCAACATAGAATGGTGATATACGATTGGTAAATATCATCACTTGACATTTAATAAACATAGTTTACAAGTGCCATCTATTATCATATCATAGACTGTGAAATAACAAATATAAAATTTCTCATTGCACTGTTGGTACATACTTTTATATTTAGAAAAAAAATATGACAAACCTGGCTGTACTGGAGGATAATACATAGGCATCATTACAGGTGTATTATAGGCTACTGGTACACCAACCGCTGGTGCTGTTTGTTGTAACTCTGATACAGGCTGTAATAGTTAATTGTATTTGATGTATGACTTCTGCTTATGCGATGGCCAGTGCCTTGCATCATGTGATCAAGAAAATGATGTCATTCCTGTTATCTCTTTCAAACTGTACAAGCATGAGCACATGAGGCCTCATTTCCAGGCTGAGGTCCTGCATGCAATTCAAAAAAGATATTTTGGGCAAGGAAGAAAATACATGAAAATTACTTACCGTCAATGAAAATATCAAATTGATTGTACCTTCTTTTTCATCACCTTGTCGTCCACTAAGTAAAAACCAATTATCTACAGTTTCTCCTGCTTTTACAACCTCTGGTATAGTAATATGGGCCCATGCTATTCTATCATCTACTGTAAATGACCTCTGGAAAAAAAAATTCTTTGTTAGTCACATTTTAGATCTTGCTAATATTTCATTTTATAAAACACCTTATATTAAAAGCATGTTGTAGTTCTGACTTTCAGTGTTGAGATATAGATAAAATAAAATACTAATTTTTGCCATTTTGTGGAAAAAGACAAGCTGAACACAAACCTCATCAAAAATTTCAATATATAAGGAATCTACACCATTAGGTAAATATCTGTAAAAAAAATATAATACAAGTCAACAAATTTTTCAACATTGAAGGGATTCGAATCCATAGATAGCTATAACCGAACAGATTACAATTTAACTAGCTATTCTAATACATGTATTACTTTATGGTAATTACGCCAAATAATTACACACATATAATGATTTATTAATAACATTCTTACGTTTGTATTGTTTTGTTCCAGTTTGGATTTTTAGCTCCATTATAAGCTGTTGGTGTTTCAAAAACAGTATGTCCAACTCTAACTCGACAGTAAGGATCCATCTTGGTAAGTCCATAATTCTTTGTTAACTTAGCCTAGAAATCAAATTAGACAAGTTACTACAGTTTTAGTGATAATAAAATGTTAACTTGTTTTACTTTAATAAAGAAATAAAGTATTATTCACTGGTACTACAATGTATTAATTTGAAATTTCAAACAATAACAGTAGGTTATATCAAACTTTAAGATATCAATTTCAAAAGCTAAAGATATCAAATTTTCAATTACGTTTAGATATCAACTCATAAAATCTTCAGATATGAACTCTTTTATAAAAGATATCAAACTTTTAATAATCTATACATATTTCAAATTTCCATAATCTAAGGATATCAATTTTGAATATCACACAATATGATCTAAATTGTCAAACCTGTACTACTGATATGCTCAGACGCCCAGCAACATTACTTGGTACCATAGCAAACCCTGCTGCTTGCTGAGCTTGTAAAACTTGTGCTATTCTAGCATCTTCCATAACTTGTTGATTCTGACCTTCTGGTGTATTGGACACTCGTAGGAAATCATTAGGTAGATCTCCTATCATTACCTACATAAGAAAATATGGAACCATTATTCTTTCTATTTTATCTTCCAGATTTATAAACTTCACACTTTCTAAGATGTTTTCTGTATAAGAATCATAAATGATGATAATATATGATTGACAAATTGTAATGTTACAAAGACTAATTAACTTTACAAATACGCACTAGCTATTTGCACCGTCATGATGCATGTTTTCTATGGCTGCTAACAACCCTCCGGATAATACAGGACACAAAAGGTGCACTACTTTTTGGGTTTTTATTAAAGCATGAAGCCATTTTGATTGTCAAGAATGATATTTAGTGACTTTGTTAGGGTTAGGTAGGGATGGCCATATGTTTTTTAATGCCCATTTTTGTACCGTTGTGGTACGAATTGCCACGGCCTTACATATATATACACTGTTGTGAGGCCCTCTGCTTAGCTTACTGGTGCTAAAACAAAAAAATCTTAAAGGGACAGGTTTGTTATTTTGTGGGGTTGTTTGGGTCTTGAAAATATGTACATAGTCTTCAGAAGTATTACAAAATAGAAATGTACAAAAATCACATAATTCCATCAAAGAAGCCTCAGACTTGAAATTTTACTCACTATTTCTATGTATGTCTTTTTCATATACATGACAGAGTCTCAAGAAATGACGATTGGTCATTTTAACATTCAAACCTCCGAATTATTCTGGACACACATGAATTTGAAGGCAAAAATCTCAGAGGTGAGCTGTGAACACTATTACTGATTAACTTAGCATACAAATTCTGGTTTCTAAGACGGCTATATACAGTATATTATATAACATGCAGTGTATTTTTGTGTTTGTGTCTTTTCGACTAAAATCATACTAATGACTAACTAATTTTCACATAATCAATAGACTTATCTATTGCTCTGTGACCTAGGCCAGTGATTTCATTGAGACTCGTCTCAATACACCCTAACACCAAAGTACAATTGATCAAACAAATGCCAAATGCACCTGTTCCTTTAATGACTTTAGATCTATGTCTCATAATTCTTGTTCACCATAATATTTTATCTGTGAAACTTTTCTAAAAAACTACAAATTATACATAAAAACTTTTAAGCACAATCAAACAAAGAAATGCTGAGAATAGACAAATTTATCTTTTAAGCTTTGACAATATGACAAACTGTGTTGAATGAATGGAATGCAGCATCCAATTCCAAGACAAAAGACATAATGTCAAACTTATCTCAGTAAATCTAGGTGTAGATATGAATTTCAATATTTGCCAACTGCTCAAAATAAAAGATGGAATGCTAAAGAACCGATCTCCATTCGGTGAAACATATAATACAGCAGGAGGTAAATGTTTTAAACCAATTATACCTGTGCTCTTCTTTCTTCACTTCTTGATGAAGCCATCTTGTTTATGAAATGACATCATAGGGCGGGGCAGATAACTCGGTTAATAATATTCAGTCTGGATAATCAAGAGAGTATTATTTATTTTTTAATTTATTTTTACAATAATATGTATTTTCTGAATTTTTCTACTCAATTTAGTTTGAAGTCCCATTGAAGAAAAAAAAAAAACAGATACACTAGCCTGCAATGACACCTTTGAGAATCTGTGCAAATCACATCTACTATCAAAACTTTGAATCTTTTAAACCTTCAAGTCATTAATTGGAGTTATTTCCCTTTGACCATATTAATGAATTATATTTTGTTATGATATTTTTGGATCCAGTTGTGTAGGCCTGTATTTTTTTCAGACGCAAACAGTACATCTGACATCTTCTTACTTATATAAGGTATAATATGCTTGCGATTAACACTTAGAAACTGGTGATATTTAGCCTGTGGTGCATATTCTTTTGCTCACTGCTCAACTGATAAGAAATGATAGATTAAAATATGGGCATATTACTTTTAGGAGGCCATAAAATTGGCAACTGATAGGATCACTAGTATTCAACTGTTAATGTATATCTTACACGAATGATGAATATAATATAATGTGCTTGTTTATCTAGAGTTGTTTGAGCCTTACCATAAAACAGCAAAATTTCTTTAACTTTTTACTATAAATTGATTAAATGATTGCATGATTCATGGGTGACTCCCTATTTATTGTCTTATAAAATAGGTCTAACATATGTGACATCAAATTTTTTGATTTAATAGTTATGTGGGTGACATAAAACTGGTTATCAATCATTATTGTCTGTCTTAAAAGTTGATTGCTGGATTGAGAAGACATGAAATATACCTTGTTTAATAAAAAGGCAGTGAATCAGGGAGATCAACTGCATGTCAGACATAAAGGTGTTAATAAATGTATTCAGTTGGCCGACAAATCTCATAAAGTTTGATATTGTATGAGGTATTGGGACATTGTAGAACTCACAACCCAAAATATCTATCCATATATCACACCCAAGGAACATGTAGGGCCAGATTTGTCTGGCTACATCTTCAGTTGATATAAGAAGATAGATGATTAAGGTGTCACATATAAAAACTGATGTAGCCTACTGTATAGAGGGCTGACCAATATACTTATGAATAACAAAAGAAACTTTTGATACTTTGGGGTAGGAATCTTGATTAGTCTTTATATAAGTTTATTTTTCATTCTTCTCTACTTTATTAGGCTAGGTTACTTTCTATTTTCTTTTAGTATAATTACTAAGCTAGATGGATTCAAGATGGACCATGTAAAGTTTACATCTATAGATGGGTGAGATATTTACAAAGACCACATTCTCATTTATGCTTATTTTGGTTCCTTTCATTGCTTTATTTTGTTAGTGATATTCATCAAGCTTACTTATAGAATAATTTTGATTATTAACTCTATCTAATTAATGATCAATTAATTATTTGACTAATCTTATTAATTTTGACATCATGAAACCAATCTGATTAAGAACAAAAGGATTGAAAAAAAAATGTCTGGATTCTCCTCTCAGTAGGTGATGCTGGTTTTGGATAAGTCATCTTTCCTCATTATTTCAGGCAACCCAGTTGTAAATCCTGTGTATTGTTCATGTGAAGTGAACATACTGAGAAATCATATATATATTTTTCTACTAAAGCTATTCTTTTAAAAGCCAGTACTTTCCAATGGAAGTTAAACGTTATGATATGAATATCATATTCTCAACTCAAAAGACATTAAATTTGAATATTTTAGGATCTCAACAATTGGAAATTACTTTAGAAATTAGGCCTTTATGTTTTGAACATTGTCATATACAAATTATTTGGTTATGCAATCCATATCAGAATCATATTAGCATTGTGGTAATTGGTATCATTTATCACATCATTCACTTTCTGGGATAATGGAAGCATGTTTTTAATGAGATAATGCACAACATATACCAACATTATTTTAATTCATTAATTTCAGGCATGATTACTTTAAATGTTTTTTTTAACAGAGTTTATATTAATATTTTTAGCTTTTTACAGGTTTTGTTTAAAAACCTTCTTTGCTTAATTTTTGGGAAAAATAACTGTAAAATAGTTTAAGTTGTAAAGCTGTAAATAAAAAAACTATTTTGTACAATTTAGATCAAATGTAATTTTGAGTTAAATTTTCTTTTCGTTATCTTTCAGGCAATGTACTGGGTTATTTAAAGAAAATCAAAAGATTAAAAGGCGACCATAACAATAACAAAATGGCTGAAAGTGATTTAAAATCGGATAAAACAGCTGTAGAAACTATCTCTGATACCTCAGACTTTATACAACGTTTTGAGAATTTATTTGATTCTAGTCGTTTAAGTGATGTTGTGTTATGTGTTAGTGGAGAAAGATACCGTGTTCATAAATTTATTTTAGTCACTGCCAGTGAAGTCTTCTGGTAAGTTCTAGTCATTGTTTTTTTTTAAATTTGGAGCTAATTGATTATGGCTCATCTGATGCTGCAGAGGGGTGAGAGGGCTTCAGATACAGAAACCACATCAGTTCAGCACGTTTTTGAGATTGTGGTAAACTTTGCTAAACCCAGGGAGTACTATGGTATTGTTTGTAGTTTCTGCTTACAAATTCACTAGCATCATTGAATAAGTTCTACTTAGCAAATCTTCAAAATGTCTTAACTTTCCTCTGTTTGTTTTCTAGTGCTATGTTATCTGACCAATGGCAGGAATCCAAAAAGACAGAAATACAGTTAACAGAAGATGATGCCTGTAAGGATGTTTTTGAACAGTTTTTAAAGTAGGTACTTCTATTTTAGTGAAAGGATTGGTTAAGTGGATTTCTGACTGTGAAGTACTTTTCTTTTTAGATATATTTTTGAAAGTATATGAAATTCAATATGATCAATACAGAATAAAATGTGATAGATCCACTCATAAGATCATAATTGTGAATGGCAAAATTGTTATTTAAATTGCCACTGTATATTGTTCAATTTTAGCAATATAAACACATACATACCACTTTTCAGATAAAAAAATTTGGTTTCAGGATCACCTGCAATTGATTAAAAACCATTAAAGAGTAGATAGAGAACCATCGAGCTGTTTTATTATTCATAAGCAGTCCATATTTAAATATGGACAGTATGGACATTCTGGTCAGTTGATAGCAATTAAATAATTAGTTGAATATAATAATATTAATATAAATTGATTTTCTGTTTTTCAGATATTTATACACTGGTTCTATCGATTTAGCTATTGATACAACTTTACCAATATTATTACTAGCTGATAAATACAGCATCAAAACATTACAGAAATCTTGTGTTCAGTACATGCAGAGACATATTGTAGCTACCCCTGACACTAATCGTACTTTATCCTGGTACCAATACGCCAAGTTGACGTCACAAGAAGAACTCATGCAGGAATGTGGAAAGTTTATTCTCTCCAACTTTAGTGTAATTTTAGAAGCCTCCGATTGGAATACGCTCTCCAAAAATGAAGTCATAGAATTTTTAATGAGTTCAGATATGATTATAGAAAGTGAATATATCTTATGGTTATATGTTGAACAATGGCTTCTATCAACTCATAATAAAGACAATATACAAGAAAACATAAATGAAATTTTGCCCCTTATTCATTTTTCAATGATCTTACCTAAACATCTCTTAATGATAGAGTCTTCCAATCTTTGTCAAGATTTTAACAATTTATTTAAAGAGAAGTTAAATCAAGCGTACAGACATCATTCTTTGGCTGTAGATTGTGCTGAAGTTGGTAAAAGTATTGAACCATACAGAAATTATTGTAGTGATATTTACAAAATTTGCCATCCATTTTCCCTACATGAATATAAAGATTGTCAGAGAATTGATAGTAAAATTACAATCCGTTGTCAAATCCCTCCAAGATTTATCTCTCCAAATCATCCAAATTGTGACAAAGATTCAGCTATGTTTCATGTTTATTTTTATCCTAAAGGCTTCTTTTCAATCATTACCTTATATGGTAGCTATGTAGGCAGACGTAATGATGGCACAACATTGAAAGTTGTAAATAGAATGCCTTACGAAGTGCCAATCAAAATTCATATTACTCTAGTTTTATACAGTTTATTGAATTCTGTTAAATATGTCTCCTTTACCCATAATTCTCATCATTTGTTGACGAAACAAAATAATTTTGAAGACACAGTTGATAATGTTATTGATATTAAAAAACTAGCTGATGATTCCCAATATTTGATTAATGGAGCTTTGGAGGGTAAAATATTTATTAAGGTTGAGGACATGGGCGAACATTTAGGTCCTACACCTAAAAGAGAATAACAATTTCTTACAAAGGACTAAGTCAATTTACAATCATTTTAAAATCATTGTCAAAATAAGTAAAAGTAAGCAAAAAACTAGTTTTTTTCAGTGGCCACTGTGGTTTTTGAATGTTATTAGTCCTCACAGTCTATATTTTTTTATTAGGTAGCTGTCTCTATGTAATTTATGGTAGTTAATTCCTGCTTCAAAGGGAAATACATTTTATATCTTGGATTGGCATTAAATACTTAATCTGTATTCATTCTATAATACATTTGTGTTCTTTAAAATTGACATGATTTAATTTTGAGAAACCTTTTAAAAAGTGATTGCTGGCAATACATAAATTTAGTAATTTATTTTCATGTGAGTAGTCTTAAATGTGATGTTTCTAATTGTCTTTCTTGTTGGAACTATTTATTTATTTGTTTGTTGTAATTTATTCAATTTATTATTGTCATTTTGTAGTTTATATATAGTTATATTTTAATCTTAATAAGTTTTTTTTATTTATGAAGCTAATTAATTTATGCCTCGCTAGAATAGCCTTAACAACAACATTTGTAAATTTACAGGATATCAATCAACTTAGGTCATCTGAGGAGTTATGAACACACTATACAAGCTCAAGTCTGGGTTGTATAATTTCAATAAGTGATTATTTTAAATCAAGACAACTAGACTGCTATATGTTTTGAATCGTCTTTAGATGTGTAGATGTCTTTGATCAGCTATCCCTTTTTTTTAACAATTTCTCTGCTTTGTTTCAGTTAGGAATTTTTTTTTTCATCTTTTCATTTATTGAAATTGTGGTTTATATCGTATTTATAGAAGAAAAGCTTCACAAATCATGACCATGAATCTTGGATTTGAATGTTTTATGTCATAATATAAGTAATTGCTTATTTTATATATAATATATCAATTTATTATTATACCAATGTTAAAGCTTACTCTTGCTAATAAAATCATGTAATATGTTTACTTATTTTAAATCACTGGCTATCGTAAAATTGCCAAGCCTAAGATTACTATTTCAACTACATCAATATATATGGAAATATGGTGCATGCATACTGTGTATAGCAAAGTCAATTAGTCTTTAGTTTGCTGTTCATTTTCTAACTTAGAGAACACAAAATCCTGTATTTTGTCTCCTATAAGCACCTTAACCTTGTGCCATTGGCAACTGTTGAAAATTAACTCTTTCAACCACCCTACCTGACCTTTTATATCAGAGGCCTTTTGCCTTCAATAGTTTAATATTGAACACATATGGTTTTAACGATGACCACTTGTAATGTAATATATTTATAAAAAATATTTATAGCACTTAATTCTGCTACACATCAAATGTTTCTTCACATATTGAATGTCCTTGTTCCTCATACTCTTGTCTTGTGACCACCATTTTCTTGTGAAAATTAGCATCTTTAGCTAGCAAACATCCACCTTCCCAGGCATATGTTGATGGGCTGAAATACCGAATGTTAAAAAATACTTTCCTTGCACTCAAATGGATTTTCCGCACAATTCCAAAAAAGAAAATTTTTTGTCATGGTAGGCTTATGTCAATTCAGTGACATTCTGTCACTATACCATCACGGAAACTACACCTGTTTATTAATTATAAATATATTACCTATCAGGTACAGATACATTGACATCAATATCTTCATCTGTTAAACATCGTACATCTTTATATCTGTAAACAACACATTATATCACAATAGAGCTTAGACAATTCACCATACTCAAAAAAACTTCTTTAAGGGGTATTCGGCTTCTTTTGGAAAACATTATAAAAATGTTATAATATAAAATAATATTGAAAATGTAGGAGACTCTACAATGAGGCAATTTACATAAAAGGGTTATGTAACCTTTTATGTAAAGATTTCGTGTTAAGAAATTAACGACTGGATTTTTTTAGTTTCAAGTTTTAGATACGTTATGGGAGACATCTCTATAGATTTTGGTTTAAGCCAAGAATATTTGAGGCAAGTTGTGCCAGAGGCTGTGTACATAAACCTTCATCAACAATCAGATTTCAATTCATATGGAGTTGGCTGATGAAGATATCAAGATTATCCCAATCAGCAGAAGTATAAAGGTAAGACATAAAATTGGTTGACACTTTCAATATGCTTAAATACAATACTGACTTTATTACTCAGCTGCACACAATGCTTATCTGATATAGTAGAATTGAAGAAAGGGATATAGTAGTATATAATATAACTTACACCCTGTCTTTAAAGCCCTGAAGATGACAGTTTCCGCCAGTCAGTAATATATTACCTAACTGATGTGGCTGCATTTCTAAAATAAATCAAATTTAGCAAACTGAAGATTATTCCTGTTTTGAATTCATATTATGCTGCTGTAATGCTGTCATATAGTAATCATATGCAGTATATCTCAATTTTATCCTTGGTTGATACTTGGTTATCCTTGGTTCCTGAGAACTGTCAGGATTTATTAACAAAGGGAAAATTATCACTATTGCTATTCATCCATAAGTCATATACCCACACGGCTGCTGATTTCAAAGTCACTTTGGCCTTATTTATATCGACTGTTACTGAATCTTGACTATTTGCCCTGATATTTGAATTAATTATTTACCTTCATCAAGACCTTGAACACAATGTGCTATAGATTCTGTTATTCCCATTTCAGATATACCAACATCTGAAGGGTGAAATAAAATCTCAGGTACAGCAAATCTTTCATTATTCATTCTTATAATCTAAATAACAATAACAGTAATCATCATTTTACAATAAATGAACATTGATCAATTATTTGTTTTTTAACTGACTGCACCATGCTCTTTTTCATAAAGAGAGCCGCGTGGCCGATCCCTATATAGGTTCAGAAGATGCTTGTGGTTATCTCAGACATAAGTAAAAGTGTTTGTAAATGAAAGCTCTGTATGCTACAGGATGTGCACATTAAAGATATCTTGAAATTTAATAATTAATAAAGTGCCCATTAAAACCACTCTCCGGGTATCTTTGAACTTGCTGCGCACTATATGGCCAAACTACATCCAAATAAATCAATGTTGACAAATATTCAAGTACCTGTTCATTGCCCTGAGCTTTACCAGTTGTTTGATCAGTTGGTCGAACATAACCACGTTTTATATGTGTATAATCTGGTAAAACATAATCTCTAGCTATAGTATTCTCTTTACCACGTTTCCTGTAATATATAACATAACACATTAACCACGTGAAGGATACATTTTAACATAACCAGGGATAATACATTTTAATATATGCTGATAAAGCATTACTTTCCAAAATGAAATCTAATTTCTGTTTACAATAATATTTAAAGGTACTGAAAGATGTAAATATAAGTTTGAGCATCCCGCCATGTAATATAACTGATATTATAATTATCAATTATATATAACGTATTCATGACAAGTTAAAAATGATTAAAGCATACATACCTAGCTATATTCATATCTTCATTAAAATCTAATGAAACATAGGATACATCTTCCTTAACCTGATTTACAACATACGTTTCATCCATTACCATCAACTGTCTAAGGAAAAATACTTCTTTTAAAACTTAACATTGTTTGCAAAGATTTGCTTCACTTGCTTCAAAAAACCATGTAGCATTACAATGTCTGGTTCCATGATAACAGATTTGAGCGAGAATTGGGAAGGTAAAGAGGGCATTCTCAGAGTCTGTATCTTTTTGGTTTCACATCAAGAAAAAAGGAAAACATTTTTAATTGTTATCAACTATCTTAGTATCATGTTTTCCTATTACAATTGAGACAATGTTTTTGCCTGATCTGACCACCATATACAAATGATAATCTTATTGCTTTACCTGTATGAGATGATTTCTTTTAGATGATTTGTTAATATTTTACCACCAACATTAATTCTGAAATTAAAAGCAAGAGTAAAGGGGAGCACAGGTCAACCAGGCATCTGGACAAATCTGAGAGGAACTGATTGCATCTGGGAATATTGCTAGCTGACCTGAGCATGCCAACAACTGAAAAAATTTTGGTTTGTTGCTCATAGTAGCTCTTTAGTTTGATCTAGTTGTTATGAGTAAAGAAGACTTTTTCTTTTCTCATAATTATTTCCAGTATATAGTTATTGAACATGATCCTTACTACACCCAAAGACTACAAGGAAATTATTACACATAAAATATTATACTATGAAAATGATATCATAAAATGTAATTAAAGTTGCATACCTTTTGATACCTTCTTTGATTTTTCTACCTTTAAAATAGGGTATGATATGTGTAAATGAATAACCAGAATCTACAACCAATGTACATAGATGTTTGTCATTACTTTCTTTCTCCCACTTATATTGACTTAATGCTGAAGCTGAAAATCACAATTAAATTATTATTCTATTGAATAGAATAGAAACATGGGTACAACATAGATAATATATATCAGGGTGTTGCCTAAAAAAAGATTTGCAGTATGTTAAAGCACAAAGCAACAAAGTGATATCAGATGTTTAAAAAAGAATGGACAGGTGCTATTTTGTCAACAAACTATAACCTTTTTTGTTACTTTCTCAACATAAACAATATGAAAAGCTACTGACTTAAAATTGTTTTTTTACCTACCATTTGTTCTATGTAAAGCTTTAAACTGGTATTCTTCAAAAAATACTTCATTCATTGATTCTTGTACTGAGGGAAAATTAAAATGAGGTTCTGTTACTATAGCTGTAGTTTCATTAAAATCAACCTAAAATCAAATAAAACCATATGTTATTAAACAAATTCCAAACCTTATCTTATTGACGTTCACATTAAAAAGCTTTAAGCTATTAAATTTTTTATCTTAATTACAAAGAATTCTTGTCACTTCTGTTGAATAAAAGTAAAGAATTTGCAAATAGTTTAAATGAGCTGCGCCATCACTTATTGCCTTTAAAGCATTACAAGACAATTTCCCAAGCAAGTATTGAAATATGTCAACAAGGAAGCAAATGAATGTGAAATATGAATACCTGCAAACAATCTTTACCAAACATATGATCCCATACTTGCCTTTCTATATCCCAATTTACCAAATAACCCTACAATACATAATGATGACAAAGTATTAGCTATTATATACACGAACAGGTACAATCAGTATTGTTGTGCTTAATTTTCCAAAAGTAACATATCTGAGAATCAAGAAAAAACTTCAAACATTTAATCATGATTCATGTTTAATGTACACCTCTTTGACTTTGGTAGGCCTGATGATTACTAACCTTTTGAAATGGTAACATATAATATAACCCTGATAAATCTTTACATTCATCAATTTGATCACCGATGAAAATTCTAGTTCTAACATTTTTAGCTTTTGATACACAATTTGGTATTATTCTGTAAAAGAAAAGTAGATGAATTTAAAAATGCAACTTATACATCATGTTAGACAATAGTCAAGCAAGCAAGATCATGACACAAAACGATATATGTTTAGGTATATCAGTAGGATTTATTTCTTTTAGTGTAACATACAGCTTATTTTTGACGTCATATCCATAGCATGTTTAGTGGAAAGATGATTTTTCGGATTAATCGTGTACCGGTACGGAAAGTGCTCAATTCACGAGAGAAAGATGCCAAATCAACCGTTACACCCATTTAACCCTCAATCACAATTGACTAAACAGTTGACATATATTTGAATCAAGTCGAAATCATAATAATCTAAATTAACCTTGGTTCTTTTTCATTGGAAAATCCTATTTTCACACTTCCCGCTCCATTATCTAAAACAAGCGTCGCCATTTTGTTTGTTTACATTAGACTTGTGAATGGTTGTCGTTCATATAACTGAATATCTAAGAACTTATTTCTACTGTGGTCATCGTGAACCCCAGGATGAAAATAAAGTAAAGACCGTGTTTTTGGAGCGATTTTAGTTTGTTTATATTTATGTTTGCGACATATGCCCGTTTTGTTTTTATTTTGAGTACGAGAAGCACGTGCAGAATGGGTTTATATGATTATCCAGACCTGATTTAGATATATCGCTAATCTCCACCATGACAATCACGACTACTGAATAACGGGATTTCGTTACTACCTCAAGCATTTAACTAGCAACAAATCGGAGTTGACAGTTCGTTAGTGGATATTATGACACTGTATATAGACTATTGAACAAACAATGTAGTACTATGTTTTAATTTTCAATGTTATTTTTTTGAATGTTGTGTATGTTAAAATACAATAACTTTTGTAATAAAAAGGAATTGATAAAAAGTAAGAATAGGTAATATCGATATGACGGAACTAAAAATGATGCAGTCTTTAGACTTAAAAAGACATTCTTTCAATAACTCTCCAATGAATAGTTTAAGGCACAGTTTTCATGTGGCACCGCCGAGTGGATATGACTATGACCGAAAGGATGACATGGAATTTGAGAGGCAGATGGAGGAAATTAGTGATTGGTTAGAGAATTGGGATCATAAACAAGTAAGTTGGATTGTTTAGATATGCCTACCTTTTCCTTATTTTTCTTTGAAAATATAAAATATTTATACATTGAAAAGTTAATCCATAAAAAGTTTACTTTGCATCTGCCACCTTTTATATATATCTCAAAAATGTTTTTCATCTTGAAACAATAAAATTAGTACGTACAAAATAGAAGTATGTCTAAACCATTTACCCCAAATAGCAGACAATTAGTTGTATATTGCAAAGGAGATCCAAGTTGTAAAAGGCGGTATTTGATTTGTATTTATAGACAGATCAGCCTGATAATAACAACCACTAGAAAAAATAGACTTGCTTGAATTTAGCTTAAACTGCATATTTCTTGTTGATTTAGCCTAAGTTTCATTAATATAAAAAAGAATAATGTTATCTTGATATATTCAGGTTTTAGAGCTCCATTTCACCTGTTCGAAGATCAAACTATCCCCTTGAAAATTTGAAAAAAAATTTACATTCAAAAACCTTACAATATGATGTGTAATACAGATAGTAACAAAAAAAAGGAAAGTGAAATAAAGATACTGGAGAATTTAATCTTCAATATTGTTATTATTTTTATGTAAAGTTTAAGAAAAGACTGTATTTTTATATCATATACATTTAAACCTCATAAGAGAGTAATCATTTCTTTTTGTCTCTAATTCTTCTAGTGTTATAGGTAACAGAGATTAAATATTTAAGCTATAGATTTTGTAAGCTTTCATGTCTTATCATTACTTAACAAAGGAGTATATTGATCTCTCTCTAGTCAATAGCCTATATCACTTTATATTATGTCATTATAGACACTGTAAAACTTTGTTGGAGATATTCACTACTCTAGTTTAGATAAGAGTCTAGATAATCATTATAAATCACCATATTATCAATATTGACATGCAAGTCTTTATAACAATGTGTTATTGACTTCACAAGATCTATTGCAGATTTATATAATGTGGTCATATTCTGTAAAAATATATTAGATATTAAAGACTTATTGTAGTCAAATCTTTAGATTTACCAGATAAGAGTCCAATTTAAGTTATTTGTATCACTTTTCATAATAAGAATTCTCTTAGGCAGTTATGACAAATGGTGCCATAATATAAGTAATGGTAATAAAAGTATAAATTTTCAGGATATATTTTGGTACATTTGATTTTGCAAAGTGATACTGATAGCTTATCATAAACTATCAGCTGGTGAAATCAATATTTTATTCTTTAATTTTAAACCATGTGAAGACATCAAATAATCATTGGCTCATTCTGTTTCCCTGAAGACATCAAATAATCATTGGCTCATTCTGTTTCCCTCAAGTCATCAAATAATCATTGGCTCATTCTGTTTCCCTGAAGACATCAAATAATCATTGGCTCATTCTGTTTCCATCAAGTCATCAAATAATCATTCAGCTCTTTCAAGGGAATTCATGAAAAAATTATTAAAAAATAACTGAATTTAGTCTAACTCACTGAATTTCTAATGAGAAGCACCATATGTACATGTCTTTTTTCAAAGTTTAGAATTAAGCTTGTTTTCTCACCTTCTGGCTTTGGCCACCAGAACGAATATATAATTGATATTGGGATGGTAGATGACTATGCATAACTATTGTAAAATATAAACTAATTGCTGGACTGAAAAAGAGAATGAAACAATAGCTGACTAGAGTTTTTAAAAAGCCCTGTCGCACGCACTACTTCCACTGCAGTATTTTTTTTGTTTTTGTGCTCAAAATCAATTCAAGAATGAACTGAACATTTTGATATTTATTGTATGTTAGTTTTCACTGTAGGCATCTGAAATTTATTATAACTTACAGCCTGTATTTATTATGTGATTAGAGCTCACAAGAGGTGTTGCCATATTTAAACAATCTGCATATTATAATATAGACAATTTTCAATAGGCATAAATGAGGGCCATATAGTTTAACTACAGTACAAATACATAATATCAATATCTATATAGTATATAATAGTCACTATGTTTATAGGTTATGTTAAATCAACCATAGTATTTGATCTGTACTAATCTTCTATTCAATATAACATGATCTTTATTTCAATACAGTATTCATACGGTGTAATTGATCTTACTTTGTCATGATTAAATCACCATTATTGACAATTTTACTTCTTTGTCAGACTATTTCTTTTCTAGTTCCATTCATCATGATCTTTCCCTAGACATTTAAACACTAGCAGAAGTATAAAGCAATTCATGCCAACAGGTCATGGCCAAAATGAATGGAGTTGCTAGTAAACCTATGTAGAACCTTGATGAATTTTTCTTTGATGTCAGTATAGACAGAGTATTTCTTGTTTTATGAAATTGATATGGTTGTAAATTCTCCAAAAAGTCTGAATTTTCCAAATATTTTGTGACATTAGCTTTACTTCCAACAACTATGATATAAATATTTCAAAATATATCCTTTATATTGACGCTCAATGCTACTTTAATACACTTTTTATTATTTATAAATTATTTTTCCGTTGACACCTTTTTCATAGGTTAACTAATTGTCTGTAGATATTTATAATTGAAAATATAGCATTCAAGTCTGTTTTTATACACAGCCCTTCTTTACTTTCACGAAATTGGAATTGGGGGTACTGTATGAATTTGAAAAAATCACACCCTAGCTAAACTTATGGAAAACTTGGTATATTTCTGGTTCTGGTCATATTTCTAATTATTTCAATATTAAATACTTAAGTTATCTGTTTTATTTCTAATTTTAGAGATGTCAGATATTAGAGAAGTTGTTACAGCAAAGCAGTTATTCTCAGTTTCAATTCTTATTTACTGTTCTACAACCATCATTACATAGAGACTTCATGTATACAGCTCAAACTCGCTTTCCTCACATCGATTTTACACCAGTCAGTACTTACACAAGTAGAGCTTATAAAGTAAGTATAATTTTACACCAATCAATACTTACACAAGTAGAGCTTATAAAGTAAGTATGATTTTTACACAAGTCAGTACTTACACAAGTAAAGCTTATAAAGCAATATGGTTTAACACTAGTCAGTACTTACACGAGTAAAACCAAAGTAAGCATGATTTTACATCAGTCAGTACAAGTAGAACTTAAAAAGTATGTACTTACACTTGTAGACCTTATACAGTAAGTATAATTTTACACCAATCAGCACTTACATAAGTAGAGCTAAAATAAGTATGGTTTTTACACAAGTCAGTACAAGTAGAACTTATTATTAGCATATAAGGTAGGTATGATTTTACACTTTGATCTCATTATGTCCATATGTAATTAGAGCTCTGTCATTTTAGAACAAAGTACGAGCTCTGAGAAATAAAGGAACAGTACATCGTATAAAAAGTGCCTATATTCAACTTGATGATGAAGTTCGAGCATGGTTAACTGAAAATTCTACAAAATTACCTCATATATCAAGAGACAACAAACATGATCAGTGAGTATTATTTTTTCTATACCTAATGTTGACGTTGACATAAGTTTTTCAATTTACTTCATTTCCTAACTTCTGTCATAGGCATATGTCATTTTTACTGTCAAGCTATTTTTTATGCTTTTTGAAAAATACAGTGGTTCCCATTTAATGATATTGACATCACTATTAAATATGTAAGACATCTTCAGTGGATATATATACAATGATATATGCATCTGCGAGGTAAACATTGATTTAAACTTTCAGAAATGTTGAGTCTTCTTATAAGAATTTAAGATCATCATTGAGATGTAAAAAGTCTGATAGATCACCTAGTCCATTACATAATACCACTCTGTCTCCAAATAGAGATAAAACAAGGTAAATAAAATTTTTGCCATTTATCATTCAAAGTACATTCTGAAAATCTCTTGAAAATGTTAAGAGATGCTTTTCTATAGAAAAAGGAAATATTTTACATCTTAAAACAGTTTTTGAAAATCCTTCTATTTGTGACAGACTGTTGACAGGAGTAAATTTCTAAGTAGCAAGTATGATAGAGATTTAAGATTAAATATTTTTAACCTTACATACAACATGTATATGAAATTTTAATGTGTATTAAATATGTTTTTTAAAATTTAAATTTAATTATTTTTTAAACATGTTTTTTTGATTCATTTTAGACAAAATGTGATTATTCCCCGACATAAGCAAGAAGTAAACGATAATAACTGCAGTTCAGTTCGTAGTGTGATAACGACACCATCTACAATTGACAGCTGTTTGTCAAAACAACAAGATAACAACAACAACAGTAAAAATACAGAAAATCATAAAACTGGTAAAACAGCATTTAGTGTTCAAAACAAAAAGGTAATTTTGACTTACAGAGTAAAATATTTAGATTTAATTTTTTTAGTTACCACGTTGAACCTTTTCAAGTTAAAATGTTTAAATGAATTACTAAGTTAGATTTTTGGCAAAATTGATTGCCCTTTGAGGCTCCCATGTATTTATCGGTCAAATTTCCTCTAAGGAATTGATCTGCCCCAGGGGCTCAACTACCACAGGGACTTGTTGAAGAAGTCTACTGGGTCCATCACTATGGGGGCTTCCACTCCAAGAAACAATTATAGGAGAGCATAAGTTAAAAAAATATATTTGAGTCCATTTAAGTCCACAGGCATCCACTCATTTAGTTGATATGAGTTAGCCAATAAAGAACTATAATAACCAGAAAGGAATTATTGTATCTTATTGTCAAAGAATTATAATTTCTGCTGTGTTGTATGTTTTGTAGAGAGTCAGAATAAAGTCTGTATGTTTATCAGAAGAAGCTAAAATATTATTACATTGGTACACTCATGAATGGAAAGGTATTTATTCTTAAAGAAATTTCAGCTTTTTTTTTTACTGTCAGTTCAAATGAGGAAGGTTTGTTGATTTTCAAGATATTCTCTGTAAATATTATCAGCTAATTTCCATAAATATCCAAAAATTCAAACAATTACTGTTTTGAAGCACAGTATTTTTATTTTTACAGATAAAAGAAAGAATGAATTTCTACACAAGTTTTTGTTATTATTAGACTCCAGACAGTTATTCTTCTTATCTAGTTTCTTAACAGTGAGTTTTTATTTTTACATTAAGGAAATTATCAAGTGCCACCTGCATGCAATCTTGTCCCAGTATTTTCAGTAAAAACAAAACAAAATTTAAATATATGAAATGATTTGTACCACTGCATTTACAGCTTTAAAAAATTTGAATAATTGATGATTCAAATTATAATATTTCAGGTCAAACAGCATAAAGATTTCCTGGCCTTATTACCAGAAAAAATCTCTCTCAAAATACTCAGTTATTTAAATCCTAAAGAATTATTACAAGCTAGAAGGGTATGTAGTTTGCTTGATGATCTAGGTCTTTTCATTACTTATGATGATAAACCCTGAGTTTTAGTGGAATTGCAAAATTCAAAAGAGAGAACTGACTGAAAATTTAAATGATTGGAACCTGTGCTATGAGTGTCTTTGATATACTTAAATACCTGGTCCCTTAAATGTCATTATAAGTCATAATTTGAATTCCTTAGGTAAGTAAAACATGGAGAAGATTAGCTGATAATAATGATATATGGAAAGCACAATGTTCAGAAGTTAAAGTGGAGGTACCAGCTGATCCTGTATGGAAAGATATATATAGAGATAATATGTATTTAAGATTTAACTGGGATAGTGGAATCTGTCATACTGTAGATTTAAAAGGACACACTGAAAAGTATGTAATAACCCGTAGTTTTAACATCTTTATTTCTATTTAGGAGTTTTTCTCCAGGTGGTTGGCCTAGAGCCCTATTTATTACACTTAACATTTACAAATTGATCTGCTTTATAGCTGATGACAAAACAGAGTGTTATTGAAAAAGAAATTTATCCAAAATTGTTGAATATATATAATATATATTATATAGTGTATATTTCAGTGTTTTATCAGTTATATTTGATAAGAAGAGAGTAGTTAGTGGTAGTTTAGATAAAACGTTTAAGTCTGTTTGATATATATTGTGTATATTTCAGTGTTTTATCAGTTATATTTGATAAGAAGAGAGTTGTTAGTGGTAGTTTAGATAAAACTATTAAAGTCTGGAGCATTAAGTCTGGTGATCTATTGAACACATTAAAAGGACATACTAAAGGTGTATGGTGTCTGAATTTCTTTACCGACAATCTATTGGTTTCAGGATCCTATGACTGCACAATAAAGGTAAGTACTGTTTTGAAAATGTTTGCTCACTCTCTCAATACCCAATACTGTCAAAACTCAGTTTTAAGCCTTTATATTATGTATTATAAGTATTAGATAGTACTGAAATCAAGCTTAAATAAATTTAGCAACATTCAACATTTAGATTTAGTTGTATATTAACTCTTACAGATCTGGAATTTAAGACTTGGTACCACAGCTAGAACATTACTAGGACATGAAGGTCCTATCTGGGCTATGGTTAGACATGATAATATTTTAGTTTCAGCATCACAAGATAAAACTGTAAGTTTTTATTTTATTTTACCCAAATTTTTCATTGATAAACAATATTTCCAAACTCAAAACTATGCAAGTATTCTTAGTACAAAAGAAATATAATTGTTTACAGGCTAGAGTATGGGATATAGGAAGATGTCTATTAATAACAGTATTAAATGGACACAATGCAGCTGTATTTTCTGTAGATATGAATGAAGATGGTACTATTACATTAACAGGTTCAGCAGATAGGGTAAGTGGTATATTTACCATAACATATAGGTCCTTGTATATTGGCCAATCGAAATGATAACAGACTTTTTCTATGTCAGTGACTCTTACCAGCACCAATATCAATAAGAAACCACAAAAAACTAAAGGAACTATATTGGTTTTGGCAACTTGAGCTCCTAGATTAGAAGGCTTGTTTAGCCACCACTGCTCTAGGTAAAGAGACTTATGAATATTAAAGGAATTTAATTCACTTATAGTACCACTGCGCTATGTATCTTCATTTATTTATCCCAAGAGGGAAACTTGCAATGTAATTTGTATTTGATATTTTTAGAGTGTTCGTATCTGGGAGACAATGACAGGAACATGTAGAAAGGTAGTATGGGTCAGTCCATCAACATCTATTATGTCAGTTAGTTATAGTCAGGGTTATTTCTCCTGTTGCTATGGTGAAACTATATGTTTATACAGAGTGGAAGGTGCTAAGCTTATCAATACATATCTAGAGCATCATAAACGGTAAGAAATAGGGGAAAATACTTTAATAGAACTTAGGCTTTGAGTGACAAGAGCTGACATTATGCTTTCCAACAGACTGATATGTTTAGAATATAAAAGCCATCATCCCTCGGTATCAAACAATATGGGTGGAATGAATTAATGTTCTTCAATAAAAGGATGCTTAATAACAAAATGATGTATTTATAGAGTTGAAAGTATCAAGCTAAAGATAACGTATAAAGATAAGAAGAAACCTGAAGGTGTAATTGTTAGTGCAGGTAAAGATGGTATGGTCAAATACTGGGACATAAACTCGTAAGTAGTCAGATTAGTCCACAATCCACAATAACATATTTTAACTTTGTCGACTTTCCGAAAAATGGTACAGACTTGACTAACCCAATGGCATAAAGGTATCACCCACTTTTCTTCAGAAGATAAGACCTTTAGTTGCCTCCAATACTTATCAGTTACATGAACTTTCAAATAATCAAAGCCATGAAAAGCTGTGATCAATTTTAGACTTTGACCATTGAAAGATTAAAGTGGCTCTATTTATTTTTCAGTGATACCAGTTTAAATACATTCAGTGGACACAATGAACAGATTAACTGTATCCATTTTGATGAATTAAGAATTGCCAGCGCCTCCTATGATCATAAAATAAGAATTTGGGATTTCAATATTTAATGTTGTACAAACAGTCAATCAACAGTAAAGAAACTTGCAAACATAGTCGAGCAAAGATATATAGGGATGATTCAAGCGGTAGTTTTAGTTGTTATGTGCAAGGCTCATTTATTAAGTATTCATGATCAGTTTAGTTTTGAATTGTCCTAAAATGTCTGAAATAATTTTGCTAAACTAGAGTATGTTATGAAAATATATTCATGCTGTATGCTCTTTGATAATAAGTTCTACCTCAGAAAACATTCAGCTTCCATGAAAATCTTTTGATGCTGATTTAGACCTGGCTAATATATCCTTCTATGGTATCTTCAAGATATTATAATATATTAACTGTGATATATTTATAATTATGATTGTTTATAATATTTAATATGTATATATATTATATGTATATAACTATCTGTGATATTACTCTGATATTGTTATATTTGAATGAAATGATTTATAATAAGTTTCTGTTTTCTTTTGAGGTTTTTTTTTTAAGGATAAGATGATGTTGATTTGGATCACAAGTATTAGTTGGATTGTACCTAGTTTACCATCCTGACCAGGGCAAAATCAAAGTTTTTGGGAAATGGGGCACAGTTTATTTTGGTCATATTCTTGTTTGACAGTCATTACATTTTTTATCCATGATTATCTCAATTACAATAATAATTTATTTTCACTGTTAAAATAGTGTTCAATACATCAATTGTACAGCAACACGGCAATATTAAAACAGAACCTAAAACATGTTGTGACTCACAGTTTTGATCTTCGGACACATGTGTGTAAGAATCGCACAGCATGAAACTTTGAGTAAATAACATGCTTCAGGTTCAGTAGTAAATATTTCTAATTATATCAATTAAATAAATCATAATATTTTAACAAGTCATTTATTTTCTTTATCTTTCTATTATATCTTGAATAACTCTTTGTACTATCTATAAAACTCCTTCTGTACATTCATGGTATATCATTGTATTTAGCAATTGAATATCAAACTGTGGAAGCTTGTATCTCAATTCTTGATTTATCACAAACTAACAAAATAATGTAGAAAAGTCTATATAAATAAGATATAATCTACAAACAGAATCTACAAATTAAAAATAGGTCTACAAATAATATATTAAATAAATAAAATAAACTATCACTAGATTTTTATCAGAAGACTGGCGTATAGTTCTTACATTTTATTGGTTAATACCTTTAAACAGCTATTTTTTTTTCGAGAAAAGGGATTTCCAAAATCTTATCACTAAATATAACAGCTTAGTTAACTCCTACTCAACAATCTTCAAATAAAAACAAATACTGTCTATCAAGACAGATCAATTTAGTGGTAGATATGTTCAAAGTCAGTCAGGCAAATTCTAGATGAGCAATTATTATAAAAATTGATCTGAGAGACAGATAATAAAATTTCACATGATATATTATGCTGAATAATCACTCTTGAATAAATAGATAACAATGTATTTACAATAACTTTATCTTTCAGCACTTTAATTCATGTTACCGGTACTTAAGATAGCAAAGTTATTTGGCTAAACAGAATTATTCACGAAAACTTTTGATACCCAATCCTTATGCTCTGCTAGTAATCCTGTAATCAATTTATTTGAAATATATCCTGCTTCACAGAAAAAGAGCTAAGACAATTCTTGGATTTGCATAAAATAATTTCACCATAGTGTTTCAGGGGATTTTGATTAATTTCACTCAGTCATAGGATACAAGTTTTTACAAGATAACAGAAACGGAATATAAATTAATAATGCTTCTTAAGGCCATAATAATGATAAACAGTTAATGCCCACAGTGCAGATATGAAACAAATATAAGCAATCACAAAATTAAACTTTCTTAAAATACGAAAATTCCATTTAATATGTGTTAACTTCATTTGATAATTCACTAATGTTTGATATCCACTTGCAATTTTTAAAAAAAGAATAATAAATAAAAAAGGTTTAATATAGAAAATAATTTTCTTCAGGTTAATAAAAATATCACAAAAGCTCTTTGGAGGGTGGCATAAGAAACAAACTTTGCTAACAATCACTTTGTATTTCATCCATTATATGCTGCTTAGGAAACTTGAACACTTGGAGTTCAAATATCTGAACAATGCTTTAAGGCATAATTCAGATACATTAGTAAAGAGTACTAACTAAACATTCAATAAATCATTCTATATCGATATCCTACTCTAAACATTACACTTTAGGAAGCCATTTCAATCAATTCAAAATCAAATTTTCTTTGAAGCTTTGTCATTCCATAATGTTGAGCATTTTAGACAAACTGCGTACATTCTGTGCCTCAGTCTTTGGTCACGTTGAATTGTCACGAGAGGTTAATTCATGTCTATCTTATCTAGGAGATAGGTCTTGTTGTCTTTCCAATATAGCACCAATAATCTCAGCATAATACACACCAAATACAGATCTATTATGTGAAATGAGACGTAGAAATTGACCTAGAACTCCACTTAATTCTGTTTCTACAGCAGTAAACCCAGCTGGTACCTTTAATGATGATACATGTTTAGTCTTTATTGCTTCTCTTATAAAATCTAACAACCTTTTACCTGTAAAAAAAGACGATTTTCATGTAATTTAGAGACAAAAATATTCAATTTAAGGAAAGAAACGCAAAAATATATTCCTGATGCCAGTGTTATCATTAGAGTAATTTAACAGAGGTGAGGTCAGTAAATGACGACGAATGGTTTAAAAAAAAACAGATAGACTTTTAGCATTGTATCTGTGTGGAAATTTTCATCTATTTAGACACAAACAATGGAAAAAAATACTCACTCATCAAAGCATAAATAGAATTTTCTGTATTAAATACATCTTTAACTTGACCCATTAACAATCCTTCTTTCTGGCCAAGTTGTGGAAAAGCATGAGACATTAAACATTTATTGACTTCTGATTTAACTTGTTCACTAATATTCTCTCGAGCATCTCTAAAATAAAACATTTTGTGTTCACAAAACAATAAGGTCCATACAGGCAAATGAAGTTTTACATCTTTCTTTTCTACTCCATGTGAGCTAATGCAAAGAAGCAACACCATGCAGAGACTTAGAGACATTTTTGCATAACAGCATTGTAAAAGACCATATATATGGACCAATTAGGTACATTTGGATTTCACACTCTTTACAAAAGACTAAAACTGCTTATTCTATGCATGCAGCATTTGAGTTTTATTAAGTTACTTACTTGTCTTTATTGGCCTCTAAGAGTGTGAGTATTTGTGATTTTAGTGTCTGTTTTAAATCTTTAATACCAGCTATAGGAGCTCCAACAGTATTATAAGTAACTAATAGTATACTAGCTATTATAGTACATTTATTAATGGTCTCTTGTAAATCATGAAATCTGCCTTGATCCATCAGTAGAGTCTAAAATTCAAATTTGTAAATATTACATTTCCTGATATAATTAAATGTTTTAGTCTTGCAAAGTGATAGTCCACATAATTTGCAAGTAACAGAAGTACAATAAGTAACAGTGTCATCATAAGACATTCTATTGTCAAAACAAGACTATTTTTGACAGCCAATGGCCCAGGGCTAACATCTTTTTATATAGAATTACTTACTTCAGGAAATGGATATCTATTTGACCATTGTAATAATTCCATATAGGCTTCATTTAAAATGGCCTGAGGAGTTGCCATGGTGATTGGTGTACTTGTTTCTGTATTCAGTTCATCTTCTAATTTCTTTAACTTATCATGACTTTCTTTCAACCAAACTTTAGTATATTGTAACCCATCTAAATTGTTTTCTAAATCAGAAAGCACAAATTTTAAAATTTAAAAAGCTCAATCAGTAACAAGGTCATTTGATGGGGGACTAGGTGCAGTTGAATTGAACCCTTTGCATCATATGGAAAATTTTAATTCAGTTTTAGTCTTGAAGATTTGGATTTATGCCATATTTTAACCTTTTTTTCTTAAGATTGTTGAGCAGTGAGATATTGTTATTGTTACCTTTCTGTTTGTCCAGAAACTCTTTAAATTTCTTCCTCTCATATTCAGCAGATTGTTGTTGTAAATAAGGCCTGATTTGAGCTATGGTGTAATTAGCCATATCCATTTTCATTAGATCTAACACTTCGAATATACCTCTGCAAAAAAATGAGTTATTGTTTAATCTAGTGTCCTTATATCAAAATGTAAGAATATCTCAATGCTTCAAGCAGCTTTGAGGTATCATTTCATTTTCAATGAAAAAGGCAAAATTGTATCTGGTTTTAGAACTTAGGTAATCAAGAAAAATGTTGAACCAGTTTCTAATGATGTCCTGCCAACAAGAAACAATTTTGCATGTCTGTAAATACATTATGAGACCATGGAAACTTCAAGTTGGGCCAGTCTCAATGTAGCCTACAATTATCTGGTGAAATACTCACATATAAGTTATTACGAGCTGCCAACATCAAAATGTCAATCATAAGGAAAAAGCAATAATGCTCAAGTAATTTCCAATCACTTACTTGAATAGTGGTATAATTTCTTTCACTGTTTTTAGTTTAGCAATATCATCATCTCTAACAGGAGCACATAGTCTTGCCATTATTCCTAATACATAGTCAGAATAATAAAACATATCAAATACTTCATGTTCCATCTTCTGTTTAATTAACTCTAGGTCTAGTACTTCATCCATTTGTTTCTTTAATCTTTCACATTGTGGTGGTAATATCATTGATAAAGTCTGAAATTAACAAATAGTATTTTTATACATATTTCCCAAAACTAAGAGTTTTTCCAACAACGGTTGTTTTGCAAAACTTTTAGGCTTTTATTTGAAACAGCTATGCTACCCTCTTTTATACTTTTACCAGCTAATTTCCAATGCATGGCATGTCATGAATATTCAAAAGTTCAGAGGCCAAGATTCCAGATCTCAACAGTAAACCATGCATTATCGACACAGTCCACAAAGAGATATCTAAGTCACCCCGCTACTGAATATGTTATGATCATCTATTCTGAAAATAATACAAAGCTATTTCAACCAATTAAACTTCAAGGAGAAAACCTACTACAAACCTCTTTTATTTCTTGTATCAAAACCAAGGCATTTTTATAATCTGGTGGTTCTTCATTTAATTTTTCTTCTAATAAATCCCAGAATGCTTTGTGTGCTATGTCTGTCACCACTTTCTCTAGACTGTATTTGAAAAAGTGACAATTGTAAAACACACAAGCTTCAGACGGCAATCCCATCATTGGGACCAAAGGTTTGCAACTTGTTAATATCTTTACTGATAAGCTAAGCAGGTTCTCAAGAATGAAAATTATATAGTTTATTTCCACATATAGAGCACTTTGGACTCTAAGTAAAACAATTTAAGTTATCTCCATATCATGTCCATAAGCTTGTGATATATGACATATGAGGAACGCTGGTATAGAAATAATAACAAAACTGTACCCACCTGTTTTTCTCTAATTGTGGTTTTTCTATTTCAAAATTATTATCAACTACAATTTCATGGGCTAAAGTCATGTTCTTAACACCATTAGCTGCTGCCATCAATTGTTCAAATGTTATAAACTTTGGTGGTGAAGCTAAAATAACAAATCAAACTATGTCAGAATACCATCATATAAATAGGTATACTTAGATAAGCTTTTAACCATACTCTCAATATGGGTATATCTTTAAAAAAGCAGCCTGACGCAAGCACTTTAACTGCATGTAATAAATTAAGAGGTAATTATGTCCACAATGTGTTTTTCAAGCTCAACGAGAAGCAGACATAAGATGGATATCTGATAGATAGTTCATATTGAAAACACAACCATCTAGGCAACATTTCAAGTACTGACATAAAAAAAAAGTATCATTTCTACTTACGTGGAACCATAAAGACATTATTAGATGATTGTTGTGAAGAGTTAGGACTGGGTGTTTGGGTTCTTCTCTTTTTTTCTTGTGACTGAACATCACTATTAGATTCTGCTTGATCATGAAATTCACCATCAATAGAATCATTCAAATTATCTCCTTTCTCAGCCATTTTCTAACTATTTTTACTGGTTCACTTTATTCTTATCTAAAACAGATATAAAAAAAAAGTACTTACAGCAGGATTTATCCATGTCAATAGGTAACTGTCTAGTCAAATTCTTACAATGGGGACATAAAGCCATACTGAATAGATTTCTTATATAACCTGAACCAATTGGCCAAAAATTGATCATCTGACATCACAAGACAGACAGCTCCATTTTAAGAACAAATTTTACTAAAATTCTTCATCTTAGTCACATATTATGTTTGATCTTTATATTCATGTTAATATTAACAATATCAAAATTTAAAATTAAAAAGCATTTGAAAAAAGTTAACTGTCTACCACCTGCACACAAAGACTACTGTCATTATATTTGTCCTACTCAAACAAAACTTTCAAATATATCAGACAAAGTGTATAGACCTAGGGGTGAAAAACAATCTATTGACTTATATAAGCCTTGTTTTTAATTAAACTTCAGTATAGCTATACATCAAGTATAAGCCTGCTGATATAAAGCTAATTAAAAGATTTTTGACTTTATGCCAAATATTAAGTTCACTCCAAAATAAACCCAGCACAGACAATGATATCATAGTTTGGATTTAGTATTTAGGTGGATTAAACAAGTTTTTAGGTCACCTTTATATCGGATCAATGACTAAACTTTGATCTTCTAGCACTAGTGTTAGGTCATTTTCAGTTATCTAAAAATAAATAAATTCCATAAATCCTCAAAAAATATAAAGGACTAAAGTTTATCTTGATTAAACTTTAATATGAGAGTAAAATTGAGAATGGTGTTGTCAAATTATCAGCATCATTTTAAATTTTCACTTACTAGAAAATTCTACATCAATATAAGCTAGCAAATCAACAACTATATATAATTGGATTGAAATGTAATACTAATTTGCTCTAGTTTATATCCTGCTGTGTGCAATTAGGAAAATTTCAGTTTTGTAGTGTTGGGCCTGTCCATGTCACAAAACATTACTACATTAGGTCTAGTTAGGTCAGAAGTTTTTAGACTAGAGGGTAAGATACTCCCGACCCAAGCCAAGGCCAAGGGCCCAAGTTTAACTCTCTCCCATCCTGTTAACTAGTCTGTGGCAGTGCTACCATTAGTCTCATTTTCAAAGCAAAAGAAAGTTTTTCACTATAGGGACTTAACCCTACCTAGCCACAGAAGCATCATCTTCATAACATATAGAAATCTAATGAATTCGTCTGTAACCTCAAAACAGCTGTAAATCAATGATGCTGACCTACAAAACCAAAAATGTAAACAATGATATTTTGATGATAATTTGCATGGTTTAAACGATCTTACCTCCGCACAATGACATGAGATTGTAAAGGCTGCTTTTTCTATTTATAATGAATCGTCGGTAAGGATTAAAAATGGCTCAGATTTCGGAATATTCTGGAAAATTGTCCACAGAATAAACAAAGGAGGGCAAGCAAGCTACGCACAAGCTTTGTTTACGGAAATGACGTTAGCATGACCTTTACTCCAATAGGGGTTAAAAATAACATCATATCTATAAATAGAAAAGCAAATGGTTTCATTTACTTTTATTCTTTGGTTCTTTCCTGTACGGGTATACAAGAATGTATCTATTGGGAAATGTTTATTGGTGTTCTTTCATATTAAAAAGTATTTGCGATTCAGAAACCAGTATGTCCGGAACAGGAGAATGACTATGTTTATATTTTAATCCCTACTGACTCTCCATATGCATTGCAATTTTTACTCCAATTGCTATTGATGGAAGGCTACACAATTTTCAAATCAGGGTCTCTATAAATGTGTGTTATACACTTCAAGATATATGGCTTAAGTTCAGGAAGTAATAAGATATTATATTTCTTGACACTCGAAGTTCAAGTAAGGGTTTATCCAAGACAACAAGCTCTATGCCAATTAATGTACCAGAAACGTTCGTAAACTCCCATTGTTGGATGGAAATTGAAAAGTTATTTTACAAAATTTATTAACAAAATAAATATGTTGAATTTCTATGTACAATTTGAACATAAAACATTTCACAAATAAACATGGTTTGATTTTCTTTTCTTTGGCACATTGTAAGACATGAGGATAGTATCATGTAAGAAAGATGAAACACAATGTAGAAAGACAGAATGAATGAAAGATAGATAGATAGAATCAAAGTATGAGTGAATGAGTGGGTTAAGCACTATAAGGATATACAAAACATATAAAGAAACACAAACATACATGATGAAAAGAAAGTTGACAGAAAACATGGACAAAATAGACAAAGGATAATCAAACAAGACAAAACAGAAAAAAAATCTAAGCCTACAGTAAACTGACTAAATATGCACAAAATAAAGTGTAAACTTGAGACTACAAATTATAGAGATCATAGCAACTTGCCTAAAACAATCTAATTCAAGCTTTAAAAATTTCTTTTTAGGGGGGAATATTTATAAAAATATTGTACAATGTTTTTCATTAGGTGTAATTTAAATACAAATTGTGATAGATAATGCTGAAAGTTTCAAATTGAAACAAAAGCTGGATATAGACAGTTCATAAACAGTCAATCATGATCAAATGATAGTGATAGACATTACAGTTTGGACAAACTGTTTAAAAACATAAACTGTTATTAGATGAAGCAGTCAAATGACAATAACATAACATTTTATTAACTGCTAATAAACTGTGTACACTGTCAATAGACATGGCATAAATTGACAAATATACTGACAGACACTGTCAATCACATTCAAAACTAGTAGACATGTCAATCACAAGAGATTCTTAATTTGAGTTTCACTCAAAGAATTTCTGTAATTTAATTAGTCAAATTAAGATTTTTAATTTCATTAGCACTAATGACCTAATTTAATTTAGCACCCATTATATCAGTTGTTTAATAATCATTGCACTATCAATACTCAGTCTGAACACTAATTAGTCACTCATTAAGCCAAGCCAGCAAAATGTTGTTGGTAAAGTAATGGGTAGAATTTCTGAAACTGTTTCAAGCGATTTTTCTTTTCTTTCAATGGTAGTTTGATATCATCTAATATGGTATTCATGATAGACACTATAGCTTCCTGTGTACCTTCATATGCTTGTTTCTCATATTCATCTTTTGGTAATCTTTGACAGAATGTGGTTTCTGAAAAAAAAAAACACACAAATATTGAAATATAAGTAACATATTTTTTACATAATAAACTTGTTGAAACCTAATGTGTCATACAAAATATATTTCTTTTCATTATATATTTCTAGAAAACCTTTGTTTTAAATCAAAACTCAATCAAAATCAGTTATACACTGTTTGTAAGACACATAGAAATAGGCATGGAAGTACATAGGTCAAAAATATTATATCCATATATTTATTGATATTCTTGTTAAAGATATGTTGTAAGGAGTTTTTCAATTTTTTCTTACCTACAACAGGTAAATTGTCGCCAGTTTTCAATCTGTAGATTCTTAAAGCCACTTTCTCCCTAATATCATCAGGTATAGTAAATATCTCTATTAGATTATCTAACAGAAACTGTACAAATACAACTCCAAGATCTGGTGACATAACTTTATGTTTAAATATGACATCAGTAAATACTCTTAATACAATAGCTTCATTGGATTCCTGTAACAAAAAAACACAATATGAATTAATTTTATAACATTTACTCTTACAGGCAATGGAAGCAAATTCAAACAGTTGGAAACTTGCATGCTTTCTCAATAAATATAAAACAGAGTTATTTCCCATCTCATGACATTCGGAAATTTTGAAATTGTGTTAATCCAGTAACAAATATACCAATCAAATCAGGTTTTTTCAGTTTTTAAAATGTATAATTTCAATCTATGAGTAAAAAGTCCAGGATAACTTACACAATTGTCCAATTTCAAAGTTGGATCTTTAGCTACAGCTGAGATAAATTTCAACAATCTGTATAACTCTTCTCTTACAGTCCATGGAAGTAGGATCATATCTAACTGTAAGGCTTTCAGAGCCAGTGGTGACCTCTGAGATACTATCAAATTCAATATTGCTAGATGAAGATCCACAAATCTTTCTGGTAGAATACACTCGCCAGAATCTCTATAATGTTTGGCTATGATGTTGAATACTTTGTTCTTGGCTTGTGGATTGGATTGGCGTAAACAGTCATCACTTAGTAAAGTCAGACCTTTTGGTAAGCATTCAATACAATCATATCCAGCATGTAATACTGAATCTTCAAAACATGGGTTACTGCCCTTGTATGGTGAATTATAACGTTTAGCTATGGTGTTGGAGATGATATGACTATAACGTGGTCTTTTGGCAGGTTTTTCATCTGATAAGGGTCCATCAACAAAATTGACATCTACTAATGTTAAAAGTTGAGCTAGAGCTGTTTCTTTCCATATTTCTTCAATTGCTACAAAAGATACAAAATTATATTAGTGAAAAAGTTTCCAAAGGCAACTCAAAATTGACTCATCTTGAGCATCAGACATCTTGCGTTTCTTTGAATAAGTTGCAATCTTACCATACACTATATTCCTTTTGAATATATTCAAGAGCATGGAAGCGCAGAGGTTGAAAGAAGCTACAATTACATGGTTTGACTTACCTTCATGTGAGATGTCAAGACCATCTTCTCTTAGAGATTTATCAGAGGATATAGATGATATTGATGTTATAGATCTAGATCTCATCAATCCACGAATACTAGCTAGTGCTGGTATTATATGACCATTTCTATCTACAGCTATAGGATTACAGATAACATCATCTCCTACTAGATCCACCTCACTGTACGCCATTCTGAAAAATGATGAAATGTTTCCATGTAAAAGTTACGTCTTAAGAGTCAAGAAGCTTATATCTAAAATAACACAAAAAACACAATGAATTGATAGTATATGTGATATCAAGACAACTTTAATATCAATTTTATGCCAATTTACTCAAGATATATAATACATAGATTACTGTCTAATATCAAGTCATTTAAGTATTGTAGAAATAAGTATGGTATGTTACCAAAACTGTATAAGTAAATTCACTATCCTCATGGTCTTAGGATTGTAGACTTTTTTTATATCCATTTGCTAGTGAGACCAATAGTTCAAATAACATATCAATTGACTTACTTCATGCCTTCATCTTTACGTCCTAAATCATCATGATCTTCATACATAGATATATCATCACTTTCATTACCATCTTGACTTAAACTATCTTTATCATCTTCTAAAAACTTGTATAATTTATGACTGCTATCTTCAAATAATCTCTTATTACACGATTCTCTGGTACTGGCTGGTAGAAACACATTCTTATCCATCAATGTCTGACATAGCTACAAATATATGAATTATAGATATGTTTTGGAAATAAATGATGAGTGTTTTGGAAATAAATGACGAATGTGTCATGAATTTGTTTCATAAATTTGTTTAATTATGTTTCAAATTTGCCTTGTACTGGATAAGTATCATACACCTAAAATGAGGGAATGCGATATGCACCCAAAAAAAATAATCTTTACCAATCTACATTTAAAGAAAATGTTTCAAAGTATTATTTATTTCAGTATATCTAGTATTAAATATAACAATCTTTTCCAAAAATCAATACTTGTGGCTGTATTATTAGAGCATAAAGACACACCCAAGCCTTAGGGAAATCAGTCATTACAGTTGTAGTGATGGTGCATTAAGTAAATTAAATTCAATACATATATTAAATATTCAATACCTTTACAGCCTTTTCCCTTGATAAATCATTACAGAATGTATCTCTATCATTTAATAAATAATGTAAAACTACATCCACTGCATCAGCACCAGTAAAACAGTTATTGTATTGTCGGAGCTTATGACGTCTTCTTTTCACCTCTACTCTTGTTTTCAGATGACAGATCACCTCATTCCAGATCTGTGTAGCTCTAAAGGGACCTGTAATATGCAAGTAATAGCTATATTACTTATTAGGAACATTAGTATGAGTAGTAGAAACCATACAGTGGGCATAAAAATAATGTTACACAAAAAATCCTACACATGCTCCAAAATCACAGTATACCATTATCTTAGAAAATATCACTATTTGACTGATTATTCCATTTCACACAAAAATAAACATTCCACTATAGCATAGTAGTATATGTACCTATAGATTGATTATACATATTGAAAGTACAGTGTCTTTTTCAAAATGTTTCAAATTTATATATCCACATGTGTTAGACCTGAGAGATGGCTTGATACTGACCACCCTCAGGGTTAAGTAACCTATATACCCTCTAGCTGGTAATCCACTTTTTTAACCAATCCAAGCCCTCTTACAATCTGGCTTCAAAATATCACTACTCCACAGAATGTAGACTGTATAAACACCCCTTGACTAATTAGACCAGGCTTAATCACCCTTTTAAATATTGATTTTAATACTTTAGGCTTGTAAAGAAACCCCCTGCAGACAATACAAACTACACTTTTATGGTAGGATTATCAGTCCAGTTTTATTTCAGCTTTATACACCAATTGTGTGTGAACAACCCTTTAATGTTAATAACTTATACGAACATACTTTTACTTTTTGAAACCATAAATAAGTTTAGAAATTAAATTGTACTTAAGAAATGTGCTAAGTGTGCATATTAAAATCTGTACAGTTGAATTAGTAGAATATTATTACACACTGGATATTGTTAACTTTCTTTAATCACTATGTTTATAGAGCGCATTAAACATTGGAGAATTAAAATAAAATGTTTTCAAGATAGCTGAAGATAGTAATGTTTCTCTTGTGCTGTGGACCAAGAGATAAAAAAAACAAATTTAGGCACACGATAATGTTTCTACCATTTGAATTGAACGCTGAAACTGTATCATTGAATTATTCCTGATTTTTTAAACAAGTTCATCTTTGCCAGGAAATGTAAAATTGGGGTTAATAATGATGAATCAATGATTTTGTAAAATTCATAATTAAATGCACTTGTAGATCAACCATTGTTCATTAGGGTTGAAGAATTTTTAAAAGTAAATTAAAATAAGATGGGTTGTAGATAGGGTGGTTTAATTAGGATCTAGTTAGACAATGGTTTCTTATACTATAACCAGATTACCCTCAAACTTTTACCTTAATTACACCCATACCCCTTTTATCTCCAAACTTCAAAGACCAATTACTAATGGAGTGTAAAATATTAAATCCCTCCCCTGTTATTTTAAACTATAGGTAGTAACTTATATCAAACGATGCTGTTTTTACTAAAATCTAGATTAAAATGGATACCTACAGATTTTTTTGGTAAATAAATTATTTACAAAGGAATTCTTTGAAGTAGGTTTAAGTTTTAATTACAAATCATTATTCTTAAGTTAAATGGTTTCAAAACAGTGAAATAGTTTTGCAAACATTCATACTTGATATGTCATTCAGTTCTGTCCGTGAAACACAAAATTGTCTCTGTAATGATCTTTAAACAGGCTATTGTTATATTTTAAGGAACAGATGCACCATTTTCTTTACCAATCATACCTTAGTCTCTAAAACAGGAATTTTTTGAAGAAAATCCTATCTATCAGTATAGTGTTCACAGCTTACTATACTTACATATATTCAAGACTCAAATCAACCCCTCCAAAATGACACATCTGTCCCTTTAAATACATAAAGTTGTGTGAATACTAAGCAAAATTAAGAAATGATAATCAGGATATCTTTGATAAACAAATTTAAAGTTCTAAATTTTATATGCCTAGGTTTTAAAATTTTGTTTGAGATTTCAATATTTATCTATGAGTTATAAAATAAAACTTTCCTGTTTGTGATTCATAATTTACATTTTGCGCTTTCCTTTTGAATTTGGCTGAATAGAAACTTGTTTGAAATTGTACTTCAGAGTGGTCAAATCAATTCTAATCTCATAACAGTTTGTGTTCAATTTATCAAAAATATTTCAATTATATGTGAACTGACTAACTAAATGTTTTTTTTTGTAAATTACAGAAATACATCAGAATCTTTATGCATATTAATTCTTATCAAAGCCAGTCTTTTATTACAATTTTCACAACTGAAGATTAAAAAAATATTGGGTTAGGTTGTCACAGATTTTAGACTGAAGATTGACTAAACATAGATAATAAAAGGGTAGCAAATTAACACAGCAAACTGATATGTCGTCTTAGGTCAAATAAATTCTTGTCATACTATGTCTGAAAGAGATCAATGAAATTTGATGAATCCATTCAGCAAAGCACAATTTTGTTAAAAGACAACTCAAGACAATAATCAGGCATTGGTAAACACTGACACCATTTGCAAAAAATCATCTGTCATCTTATGTCAAACAAATTTTTGTCAAACCTAGTCTAAATGCAATCATTAAAAATTGATGAGTGAATAAAAAGCATGGACATAATTTTAATTTAAAGCTCACAGGTTAAAGAGCTAAGTTTTGTCATATTTTGTTTTGTGGTGTTATATAATCAGTGTCAGACAAGAATAAAATACATCAGTTTAAATCAGTGACCTACACATATACACTATTATAATCAGTACAAAACTGTGAAGCTGTTGTTTTAGCTGACAGATTCTATTGTTATCCAGCAGAATCATCTAACCTATGTCCAAGTCAAAGTGTCAAATTTCATTGTTTAAAATTTGACCTCTTGCACCACCCTTAACTTCTGTTTGAATAATGACTTAATTTCCGTTAGAAACCAAGCAATTGACTTTGAAAATTCAAATTTAATCACAAGACAAACAAACTGGACATGTAAAAATTTTCATAAGAAAATGTTCAATTACTAAATGCAACAGTTTACTTGGACATCCAGTATTCAAACAAGAAGCTTACCTTGGTCAGAAGGTCAAATGAATTGTTGCAGTGGAAGAATTTCAATACAGAGATGAAAGTACATGAAAGAAGTTCAAGCATTCTTGGGAAATTATTTCTATTTGACAATTTAGAGATAAACTTAGTAAATTGGAGGTAAGAGCAAGTGTTTGGTTAGTATAAACTGCTCCTCAGAAAAAATTTAATGCTTTTATCTAAATAGTTTCTTGCAGTAAATGTGCTTACAAGGTTTCATATTAAAAGCAAATATATCATATATACAAAAATTTTAGTAACAGGAACTACAGGGAAAATACAACTAAGATTATACAAGATTGTAATATTTAAATCGACAGTAAACTTTCTCAGACTTTCAATGTAATGATTTCAATTTATTTTATTATAATTATCTACAGGATCAAGATGCCAACATTTCACTGTCAAAACAGTATTAAAACACAGTAACAGGTAATAAATTTCTTCATCTGCTTCATTAAGTTTGGTTACATCACCTTGTAAGATGTGTATAGTTGGTTGAGTTATTTAATATCTTGGTATAGAAGGTGTAATCTGCCCTAGATATTGTCTATATCATTGTCATAGATTGTCACCTATTGTTATAGGTCTATTGTAGAAAATGAGGTTATATGACACATCAGGATGTTAATTGTTAACTAATTTTCACCCTGATTTCATCATTTAAAAGATTGACATATTGAAAGATTTACATAGTATAAAAAATGTTTTCCATCAATTGACAAATTATTTTTTTCTTATCCATTGATTTTCTTAATAAGAGTCAGATCCTCCATTTTTTTTGATGAATCTTGTAATTCAATTTAAATTCATTAACCTCATTTCATCTGTTAAGTTTAATAAATAAGTATGGCCTCAAAACTTTTCCTGTTGACATTTATACCAGTCATCAGACCGAAAATGCCTCCCTCCTTATTATAGGTTTTAATGACATCATCTGAGAATAACACGTTTTAAGGGTTGGTGTCTGATGGAATAATACCATTCTAATGCTATTAAATCTGTATTAGTAGTACAATAGGCACTAACTTAATAGTTAATATGAATATAAACTAGCTAATATTTTATAAGCAAATATGACTAACTAATGCATGTGATCTATGATTATAAGGAAGTGATTCAGAAGAGGAAAACTGTCTCATTTTGTGTTTTTCCATATGTATAAGCTAATTTTGAAGCTTGTATAATATTCAATAAGTCAACAATAAGGTTTATTTTTCAGCCCAAGGGAAAAAGGGAGCCTTTAGCCAACTTGATATCTCTTTACCTCACATGGCTCTGTTTACTTTCTTATTACCCATTACATAGTTTTTCAGTGCTTGTGGGGATCATCTTAACATTATTCTGCTAAATTTAGCAAAAAAAGGAATAATTCTGTCTGAAACCTATAAGTTCCTTTAATTCCAACTTGACTAGATAATGATGTCACTATCAGATATAACAGTTGGCTGGACAATTATAGTTTGAACATAGTCTGAAACATCTACCCTTTTTTCTACACTTGAATTGTGTTAAAAAAAAACTTGCCCACTTGGCTCACTATTTGTGGCGATTTTCAGCACCTCCAAAAATTCAGGGTTTTTAACCTATTTATTTCCACGGATCAGTTAGTTTTAATATGACTGAGCAAAACTCATAAGCTTTTTCATTTTTTTTATATATATATTTTAAGAAAATTGGAATATCAGCAATAAATTGTTCTGATAATATCAATGTTTTTGCATTTATAAATGCAATAATAATTTGTAAGTTTATATCGAAAAAAAAACAATTTCCCTTCAAGAAATTGCAACAACAAAAATTTCAAATTTTTTAGAAAATTGTCTTCTGTAAAAATAGATTTTGAAGATATAATGTATGCTCATGGTTATATTTTCATCAACTAGCAAAGGACATACTAGGACTAACAGTACTATTTTGAGGCTGCTCTTCCAATTCTCATAAATCTTAGAGTTAGGACTATATGTTGAAATATGTTGAACAAGGTCCAGCTGCCTTTAGGTTCTTCTCTAAGGTTAGTTTTAGGGTTTCATTTAGCGCGTACACATGATTACCGAGGTTAACTGCACATGTGTAAACAGAAGGACTGGTAAAATAGCGAAAAAGAAACTAGATCGGTCTACAGCTAAATATCCACTGCATTAACTTGTCTCAATCAGACAGTAGATGTCTGTTTTGTACAGCTTAATTTTAGTGACATTCTTCAAATGTAATTTTTTCACAATTTTACTGTTTCCTCAGACACAAATTTTCATTTAATGGACTAATGAATTTTGCTATTTCTAGAGGGATAACATAGTACAGTCTGCCCCCCTACAAACTGTCCAGTAGAGTATTGTATTATCTTTAGGTAAAGTTATCCTTCTGAAATTTGAATTTGGAGTTGGCAATGTTCATCATGTGCCATTGCAATTGAGAGGGCAAATGTGTACTTCAAACTTAAAAGGATCAAATTTTAAATATCTAACGATATGCATAGGGTATATGTTGTTATTAAGATATTTCTTTACTTTATTTGGCCATAACTGTTGCCCAATGAGCAAAAATGGTTGAAATCACCGAACTGTGACCACAGTACTTCCGTAAGGTAAAGAAAGATGGAGGATGCATTTGAAATGAAGACGCTGCAGAAAAATATGATGAATATGTAAACAAGATAAATATGCGAATAACTTACCCATGCTGACTTTCGATTCTCTGAGGGGTATTCCTCGTTCAAATCTGGACAATTTCGGCGATGATTCTGTTCCTACCATGGCCATGATTTGTTTATATATTTAGTTGATACAAAGTAATACTTAGTTTGAAACGCCCTCGCTTGTAGACCAGAATGCACTGCGTTGTTTCTATATTTAGACTGTCACGACAGGTGCTCTGATGTTTGAAACAAGAGTAGTGTTTAGTCATGTTTACATTTTAATATTGCGTCATAGACCCTCTAGATTGGATTATTTTTAAATTAGATTTTATATCTAAAAGATTAATTAATCCCTTTATATACTGATGATAAGTTGATATAATTAGTAGATTGTACTCCAGACTGACATCGCAGACAGTACGACTATGCTACTGTGGGTTTAAATCCAAACTGAAAGTAGACATTAATTTCACTAACGCCAACGGTATGTTGGGAGTGGATTGCTATAGGGAGGTCAAATGAGTAAAAATAAAATTATACGCGACAGGTCATGAATACATCTATTTCTATTTGTAGATATACTACGTATGGGATTTTCTAAACTTAATTTCTAGTTTAGCTCATACCATTTCTTTTGCCATTACATTAGGAATTTCAAGTTCTGAATGTGCAGCGCAATAATGGAAAAGTCCAAATGCAATTTTCTAACTGTATAAAAGTGTGTCTTTCATTATTTCACACTATAGCCTCACTTTTCTGATTGTGAGAGGTATGCCGAAATTAGATCTATATGCCCAAGCCCCACCCTAATCTAAATGAATATGAAGTATCTTTGAATTAAACAAGTTGCAGCGGCAAGACAGAGAAGAATCTTTATTACGGTAATCCTATTATATTGACACTACAATTGTAAAGATTAACGCTTTATTCAATGCCGTAGGTGAAAACAACATCCAAGGGAATTAAAAAGTGGCACAGAGACATCAATTATGATTATAACTGGTTATAAATGTATTTTATTGGTGCTACATTAATATCCACTCAGCCGTGTCTTATAATCAAATTATTAATTCCTATCACCGACTAACTTCAAATGATGCCTGAGACACATGCATTATTATCCCCCTTTCATGTCTACCATTCATTAATTATACAAATATAACCATGAAGATGTAATTAAAACATACCAAATAAGGCATGTGGTTACTCCGGAAAGGAAACCCAGGTGACAAAGTCAGCACAGCATAAAATTTGTCAATATCAATGATTATTTTAAGTTGACACTCTTATAGCAAATCATATATTGAATATATGTGAATAATTCTGATTCAATAAATTCTCATATACCGAAGAAATTGGAGCCGAGACAATGTGGAAGGAAGATGCATCTTGCAAGGAAGACCTAAGGAGGTCTCTGAAACATGCTTCAGGGAATATTTTTGATTGATAATTTTCCCATATCTGAGTGATGCTTCACATTGTCCTTATGCCGAACGTTTACACACGAACCTCTTCCCTCTGGTGGCGCCGATTTAATTCTTGAATCAAACTTCACAGACGACAAGAAGTGATGAAAATGTTCAAATTCAAAACGTTTAGCTTCCGGTGTCGATGGCTTACCCTTACTGCAGGGTCTGTTATACTGCACATTTGATTTTGGCTTGGATTGGGCTCTCACGTAATTCGTCTGCTTTTTCTTAGGCTTTGGCAAAGCTATTTCAACTGGCTTTGGTGGCTCTTGTTCTTGTTCAAGTCTGTCCTGAATTTGCTTCAATCCCAATAAATCCAATTTCAACTTCCAATATTCATCCTCTAAATGTTCATGGGAGTGAGGTTGTCCTCTATTTGGTTCACCAAGCAAGGGTTTACATATCAGTTGATGTCCATGGATTTTGGGAAGCTTAGGCTTCTTTGTCATTCTCTGTTGGTACGTCACGATATGATCTGATATGATCTCTTCTGATGTTTTAGCCATGTCACTGTTGGCTCCGATTTCAACGCACTGATGTTTGATAGTTGTTGAATCATCCTCTTCCAGAAAACACAGTATATCAGAGAGACTGATGGCATCAACTTCAAATGAAATGTCAGGATCGACCATTCTAAAATGCTGGAACCTGCAATTTTTTAGAATCACAGTGCGTTTTCACAGAAAGATTGCAGTAAAGTAACACCGATATCCAAGTTGTCCAAGAAAATGTTCATCGAAAGTCAAACCACTTCCTGACTCTGGCGATCACCTGTTTGCTCATCTCTTTACCCATCACTCATTTAACATGTCTGTCTACTTGAAAAAATATGTCACTGAATAAAGAATAAAGAATAATGGCTGACAAATTGTTCAGATATCAATTATTCTATAAGTGATATAGATCACTCTGTATCTCCTTGGTACAGGAAATCAGTTTATTGATTATTGCAGTGTGTCATGATGCCGACCTGTACCATTTATTGTATCTTAGCAATAACACGCCCGGTTGGAATCCTTTAACAATTAATGTACCATATAAACTTGTTAAGCGATTCTTCACTGGACAGTTTTAGTCAACAAATTTAGGACTTAAGCTGTTTCGGCCTACTTCACAATATCAGATGTATGCTTAAAGTAAAAAAATTGATGAGTTCTGTCCATGGACAGAACTTAATATTATCCTTTATTTTCTTTCCCACAGGTTCCTGTATTAGATAGCATCGATAAACATGCTCCAAGCAGAGAATCACACATAAAACCACAGAAAAATGGAAAATGACTGATTCCTTACATGCTCATGGTCTGGCAGAAAATGGCAACCAAGACAATCCACTGAAACACCAAGGATTCCAATAACTTATGTACAGAAGTCAATATAGATATTGTTTTTGTCGTGGAGAAGTTAATTACACATACTAATTAATATTTTATTGCTGATTAGCGTGATAGAACCATCTTATATAAATTCCATGGAACATTTCTCATAATGAATTGCAATGTTTAAGACCATCCAACAGAACACTGGAACTAAATGTGAACTACCTTTAAATCTGACCCTACCCGTTTCTCGGACGTGATATTGGTACATTGAGACATCGAGGACCTGACATAAAAATGTCACTTTTATGGAAGTAGCTCTAATCCATTTTTAGATCGCTAGTTTTAGAGAATTTTCATCAAGACGAACGTCAAGACATATTCTACAGTCTCCCCCAGCATTTGCAGTACATGCATGCACCACAGTACAGTCTAAGGTAGAATTTTTCCTTTTGTCACGGAGTATACAAATAAGTTGGCATGTGACATATAATGTTCATATTTTTTTAAAACTTTATATTTCGAAAACCTCATTTTCTGTCTTATTACCTCCCTTGAACAGGAAACATTTTCAAAAATTTGGCAGCACTAGATGTTTCTTGCTGTCCACGTTACACTTTACTAGTTACGAAACCTCTTTTAAATTTTTTTCCCATAGCTTCAAATATGTATAAACGCAATCTTACTAACATTGAATCTTGTCAAGTATGTGGTTATACAAAAGAAGATATATTTCATGTTATGTTAAGTCAAGTAATCTTTTTAAATTTGTTAAATTGTGTTCAATAACTGATGAAACACAATTGAGATCTATTTCCTTGTATATAGATAAATCAATGGCATTTTGATCTAGTGAAGACTATTTGATAAGTTTTGATGATTTAACTTATTTTGATTATTTCATTGTCATCTTATTATTATTCACCATATACCATCATACAGATACAATTAGTATTACTGTATATATTGTATATTATGAATTGCTGTATCTATGGACCTGCGTTGGCCTCTTTACTGAATAAACTATTACTTTATTAGTTAGTGAACCTTTTTCCAAATTGCATGAGTTTACAATAAATGAAATTTGAATGTTTCCATAGATGTTTGATAATTTTATTCTAGGTTATATTATTATAATATCTCCTGTTGTAGTCCTCATTTGTTTTCTTATTGTTCATGTATTTGTGAAGCCATTATCTATCCAAATACGTTCTAGTTGGGAAGGTCATGGCAACATTTAATAGTGTATTATTATATAGTTTGATTTATTTTTAATTTGATTGGTCCTAGATGTAATAAATAAATGTAAGGTATAATTGATTAAATCCTATCTAATGCAGTTCACATTGAAGTTAATTCTAAAACATAAATAATAATATTAGTTGCTTTTTGATAATTGACCTTGACCATCTGTAAGAGGATACCAAGCAGTTGCCTTAGAGAATGTTCAGGCAGCATATTACATTTCCTAGTGGCATGATATTGATGTTGGAGAAATAAGCGATGGGCGATCTCATATATACGGCGACAATTGTAGAAAATGTATGTGTAGTTTAACGGAAAGAGTAACAGTCGTTTCGACTCTAATACAGAATTTAAAAATTCATCCATATTCCAGTTATGGAGGTCCAACACATATTAATAAAATAAAATCCCATTCAATGTGTGTAATTAGTTTTAATACAATAATGTCGATTTATAGATGAACAGGCTTTGCAAACCTTCTTTATATTTCCATGGCAACATTCTGATATATACCGTAGTAATAAGTCTGATTGTCTACTTTAATTTCAAAAGGCTCTATTTTCTTTTTATAGTGTTCGTCTCAATATCCTTGATTCACGTAGTAGCCTACATTATTTTTTACCTTCTGTGAATCGATTTATTATGCTTACTCTTTAAGGACACTCTTTCATTGGCAATATCTGAATCAATTTGTGAGATTAAACCTTTCTACACCAAAAAATTTAAATGACGACTCGTCTTTTCTTAAGATTCATATGTAGAAATAGAAAGTGAAATTCCTAGTTTGAAGTATTTCTAAACGAATTAAGTGATTTTCATACATTTCTAGTACTTCTGAAAACTTTTCACGTATATTCAAGACCCAATTCTACCTCTGAAACTGGCGAACCATTTCTCAAGCTAATGTAGTGGAAATTAAAAAACAACGTGTGTATGGAAATATAGGACATTACAATTTAATGAGTATTTCTTAGTTTGTTTAAGGTATTTCTGACCATTTCATGCCCCACTCAGGTTTATCTAAGAATCTGAAACATACATACAACAACATAAACAATTCTTTTTTGTCGGAGGCCTATTTGCCTGCTTCTATTAGTAAAACTCCATTCATTTCAATTTTTTTCATCTTCATATATTTGGTCTATGAATACGATCTGACATGGTCATGCAATGATCAATGGACGAAATTTTTACCAGAGGAGGGCCATTTTCTTATTCTTTTCTATTTCCAACTGTCAAGGTTTCTTTCTAAGGCCTAGATTGTTGATTGTCCCACCTGACTATGCGTTTTTCAATAAGGACAATACAAATAACGATAACTACACCTTATTACAGTTTAATTCTCTCCCAACTTACTTTAGCTTTGCACCCCTGCATTCAACAATGAAAGCCTTGGTTACATACAGTCGGTTTTGTATCGTAACTCCTGATTTCAGCTCACACCTAAGAAACGCTTCAAACAATAGATTAAGAGCATATTTAGGGTTTGTTCGATATGTCGTTGCTTATATAACTCTATAAAAACCAATTTTATTAGAAGACAAATCGAACACAAAACTTTGTNCATTAATTTGCACTGAACTATTCTATTCGACTGGTCAAAAACATATATCACCAAACTACCAACTGCATTGAGATGTACAAACAAGATATACAATTTATGTTTTTTCATAAATTTCAACAAAAATATTATATAATCTGTCAAAGTTTTGCAGAAGCGCAAACAATTTCCACCCCTAACCGAATCCCTTTCAAGAACCTCTTATCTAAAGTTCTGAGTTATATACCAATACTACATGTATAATATTATTTAGAGGCGTTGCACCTATTTGCCACAATATAAAAGGTAATAAAATTCTTTCACGTGTGAATCGAATGAATAGATCGATTTACGGCCTTGTGTAGTTTTGATATTGTAGCCTAATAATGTATTCATATCTTTTCAGTAACTTAAATAGTTAATAACCATGCCAAGAAATCTCAATGACCTACAATGACATAAACTTTCTTTTTTGAAGACGATATATCTATCATAACACATAACAAATAATCAAAATGGACGGTCGTTGATGTTGTATATCTCTATTCAGACAGGATGATTATAATTGTATTTACATGGAGTATTCTTTTTCAGATTGCATTAACTCAAGGTATGTTCATTAGAATGGTCGTAAGAGCCTATATATATCGATAGATTGAGAGGGCTATTATGTTGGGTTTCACAAAGCTGTAGTACATAAGACAGATCTGTTTGTTTGTGCTGAAATAAGTCACTCTGGCAATAAGATAACTGAATAACAATGGCTGAATAAGATAAATAAGGCTACTCATACACCACCGTAGCAAATATTCGTACCAGAGCACCAGAGATAAGTTAAGTTATAAAATGCTTGTAACACTGAAATATGTTAACTTATAAGTTGTGCAAATACATTACCACAGCCCTTGAGGACAGCGAATTAAATGGTAACCTCGGATGTCCGATGTTCCATCCTTAGAATTTCAACCCAGTTTCTCCATGTCAGTGATGTAGCTCCGAGGGACTGACATGAGCAAAATGCTAAGTCGTTCGGCTGAGACATAGATTAACATAGTGTGCTATGACACTAGCTGTCGGACTAGGAAAAGAGTCAAGAGAAGATAAAGAAGGAAGTCCCATTTCACTTGATATATAATAAGATCCCAAATGACCCTTACCATAACATGAACACAAAAGACGTGATGATGATCTCATATAGCCTAGTATAGTATAGATTATTTTGTATTTTAGACTGCAGTGTAACAAAGAACCATGGTATGTTCCAATTACGTTAAAAAATCTTTTTCGGATTTAATGAGTAGCGCTGTTCCAGCGTAGCCTCTGGTTGCTGAAATGAAACATTAAACCAAGCTCCCGTATTTAACAAAATGCAATTGTTCTCACAAAATGTTCAAATTTGAATTCCTTTGACAATATCGAAATCGTACATTTTTTAAGGGCTTACCACAAAATTGCTATTCAAACTCATCTGTTTCAGTTGATGTGTGTCAGAAATACTTGATTGTATCGAAACAGATGTATATGGTCATTGATAATAATGTTGACCCTGGATGTCGATGTGACATAACCTTGTACAGTAACAACACAACTTCACTTCATCCAGTAACGATTACCAGCTCAACTAGTTCACCAACAGATTGTGGCTATTCTGTCAGCAGTCCAATGGTTGAATCCGATACATTCAACTGTTCGGAAAGTGTTTCTAATTCTCTAAGAAATGGTAGTATGATTCTGCTGACAATTACTGGTACCAATAGCCCGAGGTCATCAACCAGACTTTGTATTACTGCTGAGGCTGTTGGTATGTTTCTCTAATAGAAAGAGTTCAAAGGCAAAGGCAACGGCAAAAATAGTTATAAATCTGTACACCACATTCATCACCTGAAATGTTATTTTTGAAGTTACATCCAACAGTTTATTATGTTTGTACCAGAAAATATGAAAATGAAAATATGTTATGAATTTTTTTGAAATACTCTTCAGTATAATTTCTATAGAATTTTGGTCACGTTGGTTCTGAAAATACACTTATAACATTCAACCCTTTATAATATATTGCAAAGGTCAGAGTTTATGCCTTCTTGCCTTTGCCATGCAGTTTTTGGACTCTTTATAGAAAATCTAGATACATCTTTTTTTCTTTTTCAGGCACAAATATTACTTTACAATGTCTTAACACAACTACGACGACCACAACAATTACTCCCCCAACTACTACAACAACAACTCCAGCGACCACAAAAAGACCCACAGAAACCACAAGTCGTATCCCTTCCTCCTCTATTATGTCTTCATCGCCATCAGCATCGAGATTATCTTCAGGTACCACAATCCTTTCGTCGGTTGATACCCACTCTTCAACAAATACACCTTCTGACTCAACTTTTACATCAACAATCAACACAATATCGTCGCCATCAACTATAACACCGTCAACGGGTTTTCCATCAACACTAGTTAGAACAATATTCCCATTAACAACATTGCCATCTGTATCACCATTCACAACATCATTTGAAACTACTCGTCAATCATCCAAAATGTCATTACCGTCATCATCACCAGCATCAGCATTGACAACATTTCCATTAACATCATCTACAACAACAGTAACGATATCGGAAACAAACCCATCTTCATTCAAATCATCATTCACACCAATACTTCCATCAACAACATCATCAATTCCATCAGAAATAACACCGTTTACAACAACACATCCACCCAAAACAACACATTCTACAACACCACTTCCATCAGAAACAACACATTCTACAATATCACTTCCATCAAGAACAACACATTCTACAATATCACTTTCATCAGAAACAGCACATTCTACAATATCACTTCCATCAGAAACAATACTTTCCATAACATCACTCCCATCAGAAACAGCGCCTTCTACTACATCAATTCTATCAGAAACAACACATTCTACAACAGCACTTCCAACGCACACGGAAAAACCATCATCTAAATCAACATTCCAATCGTCATCATTCAAAGCATCTCAATCAGAATTAGAAGTATCGACGTCATCAGCTGAACAAACACACTCTACATCAAAATCATCGAAAACTCCATCATATTCATCAGCTTCACTGTCATCAGTATCATCACCATTATCCAAAACAACATTATCAGAAGGCGTCCATAATAAATCAACTACAACACAAAATCCATTACAATCATCATACCCGTCACTTCCCTTTACTTCAGAGACGACAGGGATGGCAACAACTGAAACCACCGACGGTAAAACTAATAGTAATATTACACCCAAAGTAGTTTTGTCCGGATCACAAGAAGGAAATATTACAGACCTTCCATGTAAGTATCGCTGAACAATTTGATAAAAATGAACATTTTTAGACTTTTCTGCCCAATTTTAAGTGATATTTAGCTGATAAATTCATACGATAAAATGTCGGATTTGTCGACGGAGCATTCAAGTGAAAATATAATTTTTTTTTTCAGTTATTGCAACCGCATGTGTGGGTGTTTTTATCATAATAGCTGTTATAATCATACTGATTTGGTAAGTATGAGATACCGTACAATACAGCAAACTGTATTGTAATGTTTCAGCATCTAAGTTCTTGAACTTTTTGGAGCAACCAAACCCCTACCCAATCTGCCTAATTTGAGCACCAATCCATCCATAATTCATCTTATCTGGCTCCCTAAGGGTTCCTTGTAGAACTGCGTATACTTGTGACCCAGGCCAGTGCTTCTATAGGAGAGTATCTTCTATAACACCTATAACCAAAAGAATAGAATAGAACTCGTCGTGCAGTCCAGCCAAAGTTACTATTTTCTCTTTCAGTTGTTTACGAAAAGGCAGAAAACGACCTATAGACAATACTGGTTCTCCTTCAGATACCCCACAAAGTTACTCTAGTGGCTCCCAACTTGGTAGACTCGTCATGGTTAACTCGTCTCTATGTGTAAGAGTCCCAAACTCTACTAAAGGACGGTCTGGTATACCCAATCCAGGCTTTTATGAAGCTCATAGTCCTCAAATATTACCTGTTCACAAACTCAAAGGGCAACGATATCTTGAAGTCGAAAGTGATGAAATAAGTTTCCAAAATGAAAATATACTTTCTGGTGTCAATCCATTTGGCAGTTATTCTGGTGTCAATGCGTTTGGTACACAAATTCAGACTAGAACTATTGACTTTGACGAGGAAGATGAAGATGTACAAGATTGCACGTCTTCGTCGTTATTTGAAAGGAGTAAACCTGAAGAACCAATTTATACTGCAGTAAATAAAAACCCTAAAGTTACCTTTGACAATAACAGACCAGGACCTTCCAGATCAGACATTCCTTAATAGTGGTGCTTCCAATGAACTATGTATAATAGAGGAGAGTGTTGTATGTGTTATCAATACAATTTTTTTTTAAGTGTTAAATTGAGTTGTGAGACCTTGAGAGAGAACGAGTCTTAAAGCAGAGTTAAAGCATCCGGAAACGCACCATAACGTTTTTCTAATTGTAAGAAATATACCGTGCTTAGAGGTATCTAATGGCATCGATAACTAAAATCGTTCATCAGAATTTTATTTTTGGTTTAATTTCTGAAGTAGAACCCTTTCATAGGGTGTGCTAGTTTTTAACCAGAAACAGCAAATAACTTGATTTAAAATTTTCACCTTTGAACTTGAAACGTCTTGAAACAGTTTTGGTTCGGACCATTCTTTGGTGTTTGTTATGTTTGAAATCATACAGAAG